TCTCAAGCAACAAAGGCTTTGGAGACCTCGATCCTCGAGTTAATTGTACTACATGCAGAAGCTCCCAGCCGGTTTAGTATCAGCACACTCAGTCCAGCATCCGCAAATATGCCGCGTCCTTTCAAACTCGCTCATCTGTTTCCGCTGTCCGTTGCTGTCGCCCACACCATCGGCGGAATCGTTCCATTCTTCGCCGAGGACGCTGGAATTCGCTCGTTCGGGCTCCCAGAAAGATTTGCAGAGTCGTCTATTGCGCAGGCTGGCTTCATTCTTGATGGCGCTCGGTTATCTGTTCTGGGAACGGTACAGCTGATCATGTATCTTCGCGGGGATTACGTTGCAGTGGACATCATCATGGCCCTCTTGGTATACGTTGGGCTGGTCGATGGATATGTCTGCTGGCGGGAAGGCGAGATGGGATCCGCTGTTTTCAGAGCCATGTCAGGAGTAGTCATTGGGACTTGGGGGGCGTTGGGGTTGACATCCAGACTGTGAATACTCGAGGTTCCAGCTTGTCATAGGGGATAGACGCGGGCTAGATTCGCGGCACCACATTCAGCCGAGGGAGATTGTTCCTCCAACATAGATCCCAGGAATATTCGGTCATGGTCTCTATCCAGTGATCGATCACATGTAATAATTTGTGATTCGGGCCTCCACCGTTTAGATGTCCCGACCAGCCCTGGGGAATTTGAAGATCCAAGCGGTCGCAATATGATTATGAAGTCCATGAGACAACTTTTCACGCATGAAGGATGTGGACAACGGCGAACTACATTTACTCTACGTAAAAGCAGAATTCGTCTGTCTTTCTTTGGTTTGGAAGATGATAGAAGAGATGGTTGTGGAGATCAAGTAGCGCATGCAGGAAATGCACTGGTCAATTGCAAGGTTATCAGCAGTTCGCTAACGCAGTATGGTTTAGACTGCTACTAGCGTGTGGTATCATCGTCATGGTTGGTAAGCATCATCGGTTTCTAAGGCTCTCATAAAATGTTGCAACGTCAGGTACGTGAGCGGATGATACCTAGTGACTACTTCTCGTCCGCGCCTCATTAATCGATTATATCCTCGGCGTTCGACCAACACTACCATACATCATGACAAGCTTACTAGGCTTAAACAACAACATATCGTATTTCACGGTAAATTTGAACATACCTAATCTATGAAACACGGGTAATTGACGGCTATTGTTAGATTCCATTGGCACTAGCGCTTGCCCTTGTCCCGCGATTCTACTCGGGACTTGCAGGCCCTGGAAAAAAGCTTTTCGATCGACAGAATCCAAGAGAATTCTCTGAAACCCTCAAGAAGGCCGATTTGGATGAAAAAGTAAGCGAAGAAGTCGAACCTGAAGAGCTTAACGTTGACTGGGAATTAGCTTCGGGGACGGTTGCTGCGGGCTGAAGCCTGCTCAGCCAATGGTTTTGAGGCTCTTCCTCTGTACGCCGCCGCAGTGACGGCGGCTAACTCTGCGGGCATCTCCACACCTGTCATGAACTTCCTCTCGATAAGTTGGCTGTCAAGCCGTGTGCTGTACACGTACGTTTATGTTTGGCACCAGGAGAGCGAAACGCTTGCGCAGGACCAAGCTCCGCTTCGGTTCAAGGTGTGGGCAGTCGGTGCTGTGATCTGTATGTCCATGTTTGTGCTGGCTGGATTGAAGGTTCGACCTTGAATGCCCAACGTAGATAAGGGAAATCAATACGCTATGCTATCCAGATCGACTGGCAAGAAGTTCGATGATTATGACTATCTGATGCATTTGCACTACCCTCCGCAGGTGAGCACACGAAAAGGACCAAATGTTATTCCTATGTGTCCCTGATGACGACTTAGACTCCACGCAGCCAGAGGCAACGTGATGGTATGGCGTGTGGTCACAATGAATGCGAAGGGAGGCGAGTGATTGGTGGTTGGTAAATCAAGCTGGTCGAATCCAAGGGTTCTGCTTTCGGCTTATTGGAAGGGTCCCAAGCTGCACTTAACTTAGGATGCGACTGTACAACGTCGAAATTACCAAGATGGCGGTCAATGTAACTGGCCCGAAACTGCCCGCATGTCGAAACATGCCGAAAGAGCGGTGGCTGGTGCTGTTGACAAAACTGCTCTGCCCAATCCTTCAGTCGAATGTGACATGGGGGGCGTTCTGCAATCAAAAGCGGCCGCACAGGTCGAAATATGCACCGTTTGTTTTTCGTCCCCCACTGGCCACGCGACTACCCCATGGGGATTGCCAATCTTGAGCACACAATCTGAATCATGGATATTGTTGGAGCCTTCGTTTCTGCCGCTCAGATGACTGGCAGTGGATATCCAGCTCGGTCAAGGGCTCTCTCTCTGGTCTGAACATCCTGACCGGCCTTCCTCCCGCCGCCACTGACGGCATTCAGGCCGGAGTCAGCGACAAGCTCCAGGGAACTCCAATGCCAACCATAGCCAATCCTCGAACCTTACTGAAAGTGGCCGTTGTGGGGGGCTACCGGGGCTGGGCTTTGGGGTAAAGTTGGGGGAGATGGAGACGGAATGGGGTCATCCAACGGTCATTGAGTGCCCGCACGATGTTCTCACGGAATGAACTAGCTCAACTTCGTGGTTCACTACATATAAAACTCCCTCGCTCTTCCCCTCTCGCCAAGTCGCCGAGAACAAGCGCTGGCCATGCATGCCCAGCTTTGCTTTCTGACGCTGGGCTTTTCTTGGCCTTCCACTTGGCCGCTGAAATTTACACGAGAATGTCTTGGCGACGGGCGATCCAGTCCTTTGCCCCTCGCGGGGGTGGCTGAGGCTGCGCAAAGATAGACGGCGAGAAAGGAATATGCCTCATACTCATGAGAAGCTCAAGCGACGCGCTTGTTGGCGCTACTTTGGTCCGCGATGGATCGAGCATACAGTCGGACGCACATCAGAGGCAATGTCGTCCCAGATGTAGGGTCCGGTAAGAGCTGGGATCCAAATACGGGGCTAGAGATCCGGGGAATCATCGCCGCGCCGCCTGTGTCAACTGTCAATCTCGTTTTGACACATCCGGGGACGCGCCGCCGGGTGCGGTGCTGGGGCCTCAAATGGAACATTTCCCCAATGAGTTCGTCTTTACTATGGCGCGCCGACGGTCTGCTGCAGCGGTGGCCCACCTCGGAGGAGATGAGAATGGAGCCAGGTCGGTCGGTTCAGGTTACGAGTGGTGCTTCACAAGGATGCACAGTTCAGAGTGCTCTTCCTGGATGGTCACCTGCGATCCCACATCATCATCAACCAGTACCATGCATGCTACCACAAACATTGCGGCGCGGTCAATTGGTCATTCGCGATTCTCGAAATCCGGGGTGTCTTGTATCATTTGGACTACGGGCATCTTCCGAGACGCTGCAGACACCACTTTTCAGATTAATATTAGCAACCGCCAGTCTGGTTCAGCTACCCCAGACCCCATCTCAGAGCTTTGGGCCATGTGGCTCTTAAGATCCGTGCCTAACATATACGAAGGCTCCCCAGTGAGTCCCAAACGCCCGTCTATAGCTCTAGCTGTAAATCTAATTCATCGTCCAGAAGCTGTGAAATGCTTCTTCAAGAGCTCATCCAATAGGTCCATGTTTCCAAACGCGGGAGATGTTTTCTAGCGCGCCGTGCCAGAAAGGAAGCTTTCTTGTCGCCCAACTGCCGATCTCAAGACAAACTCACGTCGGCGCGCCAAGAATGAGAGCTTGACCAAGTCTGACATGACCTGGTCCAAACTACTTCGCATCCCAGACCACTCCGTGGCGCCTCCTTCGTCAAGGGAACCCAGGTAAGATGTTCAGTGCACCACCTCACCCAGCACGTTGGCTAAGATTGAAACCAGGTTGGCACTGGTTGGCGTCACTTGGCAGTACACCATTTTCTTGGAACCCATATGCACTTCGCTCTCGGCGCACCACTCGTAGTGTATACGGATCTAGACCGCACCGAACACCGTGTTGTCGTTCAGCCAAAGTCATGTCATCCAGCCCCATCAACCCCACGAAGGACCTCGCATACGGCTGGGCAGACTGACCGATGGAGAGTGCAAACGCGGGGCCCCTCAATGAGATGACTTCTCCCCACCGACCGAACCCCCCTTACCCCGGATGGAGACGGGACGCAGCCCACAAGACGCACCGACAAGATGCGGGCGCCCTAGAACATCTGTGGCGCCCGACGAAAAAGCATCGTATCGGTCTTCCTGCCTATCTGGTCTGTTTGGTTCCTATCATCACTGGACAGACGATATCAAGGTCTACCTCGAGTCAGAAGGCCGCATGGCCAAGACATTTCCTGCCATCCATCTTGAGGTATCCGGGGATTTTCTCACCCTCGTCCGGCAGTCTTTATTACTACTCAGTATGACAACAGGGGTGAAAGATTCGTCTTGGATCGACACCAGCTTTCGCCAAGCTGCCGGGGAAGAGAAGAAATGTGACACTATCCACGCTTGGTATTCTCTTGGAAGGCGTCTTCTGTAGCACAACTCCAACAACCAAAGCTCCTGCCGACGCTGAGAATAGCAGCTAGCCGACGTACATTCAGCCAACCGTTTGCTTGTGCGCTCCAAGAATAAGATCGCGGACGCTATCCGTCTGGGCAAACCCATGGGATCATGGATTGTCGGAACATGTCGGGCATGACTTGGCAAAACAAAGAAGAACGTTTGTTGTTGGCGTGAACTGGTGTGGGTGTCCCAAATGTGACCAGACCCATGTTCCCAGCCCAGTCGATCGCGAGCACGACATGGGAGCACGGCGTGGAAGGGAGGTCAAGCTCCTTGTGCTCGACGTTCCACGAGCTCAGAGTCTGGACATCTCCACCACGTATGACTACATAACAGCCCCCATCCCCGACGGCTGACAACGCGAGCTGAAGTCTGTCCTTCATGGTGCTCTGAGCTCAGCGACGCCAGCGGTAGCCTTGTCTCAGTCATTTCATATCTTCACGTCGTCAACCCAGAGACTTCTGCGAAGTCTGACAATTGCTTCAACAACATGGCACCCACAAATCCCGACAACAGCCACATCGTCGATGATGACGGTAAGGGCAAAGACGTTGAGCCTCAGTTCTTTGAGGACGAGAACCCTGAGAAGCCCATTCCCAAGACGAGTGGGAAGATTGACTACTCTGGTGCTCATGAGAAAACCGACCCCAAGGAGATTGCACTTGTAAAGAAGCTGGACCGATGGATCATGGTCAGTAATCATTCCGCCATTTGGGAAAGCTTTCGCTAACTCTTGAGCAGCCGATGCTCTGGTCTATGTACTGGTTGAACGTGAGTTCGGTTATCATCTGTTCACTGAAGTCTGTATACTAACCGATATTTCAGTACCTCGATCGCAATGCGATTGCGCTGGCGCGTCTCAATGACCTCGAAGAAGATCTGAACCTCACCAGTACCCGTACGTTGTGGGCACCACATTTGCGCTTCTGTTCCTCAGGCTAAAACCGATTTACAGAATACCAAACTTGCGTTTCCATCCTCTTTGTCGGATACATTTTGTAAGTGCTGCTAGCATTGCTTGCTCGAATAAGCGTGTCTAACGTTATTCAGAGGACAGATTCCTTCCAACATGTTCCTTACGCGAACCCGACCCAGTCGTTACATGGTATGTACGCATTCTGTCGCCGTTGAGTACGAATGCTCATGGGAATGACAGGGAATCATGATGATGCTGTGGGCCGTCGTCAGTGCCCTGACTGCTGTTTCCAAAGACTTCACCGGCCTCCTCTTGACACGATTCTTCTTGGGAGTGACCGAGGCCCCATACTACCCCGGCGCAGTATACCTCCTCTCCTTGTTTTACACTCGTAAGGAGGTCGCTACACGTATCGCGATCTTGTACACAGGAAATATCCTTGCGACGGCCTTCGCTGGATTGATTGCCGCAGGTATCTTCTATGGTATGGATGGTGCTGGAGGTCTTGCGGGATGGAAGTGGCTTTTCATCCTGCAAGGTGCTGTCACCTTCGTCATCGCCGTCGTCGGCTACTTCCTCCTGCCCGACTTCCCGCAGAACACGAGATGGTTGACCCAGGAGGAGCGCGACCTCGCATACAACCGCATGGAGCTGGACACCGTCGCCAACAAGGGCGAGACAAGTACCTGGAATGGTCTCAAGCAGGCCGCGAAGGACCCCATGGTCTGGATCTTTTGCGCCATGGCTCACATGCATCTTGCTGCCAACGGGTTCAAGAACTTTGTAGGTTTCGGAAATCAGAACGATGATGTGCGTTGGTACTGACAGACCCCAGTTCCCTACGGTCGTCCAGACTCTGGGCCTCGGCACTACTGTGACTCTTGTCCTCACCTGCCCGCCCTACCTCATTGCTGGCGCTGTCACCATCGCCGTTTCCTGGTCGTCGGGCAAGTTCAACGAGCGCACATGGCATATCACCATTTCCAAGGCTGTTGCAATCATCGGGTTCGCTATCGCGCCCGCTACGATGTCAATGGCTGGTCGTTATGTTGCCATGTGCATTTTCACTATTGGTGAGTGGAGTCTTGGAGATTCAAAGGCGTTTTCTGACCCATCTATAGGTACCTACGGTGTCAACTCCTTGATTCTCGGCTGGTGCGGTAGTGTCTGTGGCCAGACAAAGGAAAAGAAGGCCGTCGCGATCTCCATGGTCACCATGATCATGAATATCAGCTTCATCTGGACGCCGTACCTCTGGCCCAAGAGCGATGAGCCCCGCTACGTCATCGCCATGGCGAGCAGTGCGGCCTTCAGTGCGGCAACTGCCATGTTGGCTTGGGTCGCCAGGGTCATTATGATGCGTCGCAACAGGAAGCTGAGGGCTAGCAACGATGAGACGACTGTCTTCTATGTGTACTGAGCGGATGACTCAGGGCGCCCGTTGAGTGCCGGGTGGCTGTGACAATGGGACAAAGCTATTCAAGCGGCCTAGACTCTTTGTGTCTTCACCGCAGCCTAGCTGGGACATTTGGATCAAAAGACAGAACTTTTAGCTCGACAGCATAGCCACCAAAATGCCATAAGAAGTGTTACGAATAAACCACATGAATGAACTTTGAAACCTCCAGCGACGGAGGGCAACTTCAATGGGCACCCCAGTATCGCTCGAAATGAGATACTTCCTGTCGGAGCGAAACTTCCGAGCCATCGGGACATAGGTGGCCGTGCAGCTGTGTTAGTCGTGTTCAAGATTGAAGTTGTGCTAGATGTAGTTGCTTGTTGGTTTGGGAGATGTCAACTTGCAAATGATTAAGGCTAGAAGAAAGTCTCTCACTTGACTTCCAAATAGCTACCATGGATCTGCAGACTTGTTCTATCAACATTCCTTGCATGAGATCGCCAGTCAGCAAGCTTGCCGTGCCGCATGACTGCAGCGATCTACCTCTGCAGGGCAATCGAATTGCCGGTTTGAGCTGCTTCTGTTGCTTGCTCAAGGCCTTCGCAACTCTAGGCTAAGACCACGAGACCAAGCATACAAACGCCTCTGAGACCTTCAGCGTGGAATCAGAGTCTCAAAACGTAAGTATTGATTTTTGATGGTAGAATATCGAATTATCAGGCGAAAAACTACGAAGAACAAACGATTTCTGTTGCGATCACCAATAGGTACATGGAATATGATATCTTGTCGATATCCTTTGCCAAAGCGTCTGTTCCTCGAAGCGCTTGACTGGCCTCAACGGCTGTAGGCCAAGCTTGCTTGCTCACGGATGCAGACCAGAGGCATTTCCTCATCTTACAGTTCAATCAAATGAGGAAAGTCTGCTGCACTCACACCTGCCTCCAATCAAATGCTGTCACCGCCCCTTGGAAAATAAACGGCAGTGATTGTGACATTCGTGGAACCCATATAGTGCTGAAAGCCACGCTTCAATTGATTTAACCGAATTAGGAGCCTTTCCACGCATCGAACACGCCAAACTTCCACTAGCCGATCCTCAACGTGGTTGCCTGGAATGGGTCGAGACCGACCGCCGGTTTGAATTCCTAATGGCCCCTGCAATGAACGCATGCTCGCCTACATGTTAAATGCTACATAGCCGCAAAACTGCTACGTAGCCGCAAACATGACTCCATCGCGGGAGCATCGAAGGAAGGAATCCCTGGAATCAATAGGACTTTTCACTGGAATCGAACATTTCCATTGGGCCTTTGCCGAGTAAGGTGCGTCACACTGCCGACTGGAGGAGAACTTCGGCATTGACCGAATCAAAGAAGTCGGCAATGGCAGGGGAATGGCGCCCAAGTGGACTCGTTCAATGCCCCTAAAACCCCTAGCTCTCACCTAAGCCGATTCCGACTCGACGAACTACCACGCACCTCAGGCATTCCCCTTTCAAATATCAGCCCTACCCGCCCCAAGATCCTGGATCACCCAAAGAAATTTCCTCAAAAAGACTCAATTCAAGCATTTGGGATGTCAGCAACCACGGAAACATCGGCGACGGATCCCGGGTTAGCTCCGGCTCCCGCTCCGGCAAAGGGGACCGGAAAAGCACCGGGAATTTTGACATTTGCGGTGGACGGCCGGCCCCGAGCCAACCGGACCAAGAACACCAAAACAAGATCAGGATGCGTCACATGCAAGTAAGTAGCGCTTCATCCACGCAATGCGCTCGACAATGTTAGTCGAACGCACCTGATAGAAGATTCATTGACAACTTGTAGAAAGCGGCGAATACGTTGCGATGAGGCGAAGCCCTCATGTCTCAACTGTGCGAAATCCAAGAGAACATGCGAAGGCTACGTCCAGAAGCCTACTGCAACCGACTTGCCGAAGTTCCTAGGGGAGAGGCGCACAATTTTAATCAAGCCGAATTACGAGGCGAATCTTTTCACCGACCAGCTTCAAAAAGACCATTTTCATCACTGGCTCAATTTCACAAAGGAGTTTACGCTTTTCCCGACAGCCCTGATGTCACACATGATGCCGCAAATCGCACGAGACGAGCCTGCGATTCGGCACGCGGCCTTCGCGATCGGCGCTGCGACTATGGTGAACCACAGTCGACAAGACCGAACATCAGGCAATGGCAAGTTCACGGAGGAAGCGTATAAACACTACGGCAAGGCCATCCAGATCATTAGGCACGGCGACCAATCCCGACGAAGCATTCCTCGCGCGCTGTTGTCATGTTTGCTCTTCGTCACCTTCGAGTCTCTGCAGGGCAACCACAAAGCCGCTTTACAGCATATGAATCACGGATGCAACATGCTGGATCAAGTTATCAAACAGGGAATATCTGGAGAGTGCCCGCCGAAGCTGGTCGAAGAAGTTCAAGCGGGGTTCCGACGCTTCACGCTGTTGTCGTGGAGCCTCAACGGTTTTCATCCGCCAGAGACCGAGGCATACGTGCCGTGGTGCTGTCGGGGAAGGCGAAGTCGATACGCCATCGACGAGATGCCGCCGGCATTCAATGACCTGAGAGAAGCACAGAAGTGGTGGGAAATCACTCAACATCACGTTATTTACAAGTCAGGTATCAAGTCCGGATTCGCATTCGAGGGACTTCAGAGAGATAACCCCCACCCGATGACACAAATCACGGCGGAGACTTCGAAGAAATACCTCGATATAATGGAGAAATGGCAGGTCCGATTCAAGCCATTGATCAAGGATGCCGTACGACAAAGAGCATCAAACCCACAAAAGTATCTGCAGATGTCAAGTTTGCGGCTTTACTATCTGTCATTGGAATTAGGATTCAAGAGCATGTACTATCATGATCTTGACTACTTGGCAGATTCTACTCCTGCCTTCAAAACGATAGTATCTTTGTGCAGGATAGTCATGTCTGGACAGCACCATGGCCCAGACGTCGAGAAAGAGGTTTTCACCGTGGAAAGCAGTCCAACATGGCCACTAATGATTGTTGGTGTCTTTTGCGCGGACCCAGAGGTGAGGAAGGACGTGAATCAGCTCATGAGAGAATACCCGAGGCGGGACGGAATCTGGGACTCGAGAGCGTTTGATGCGATTTTGAGATCCACCGAGGCTTTGCGGGAAGCGAGCGCTGGACATATCGAGGCGTGTAGGTCGATTCTCGATAACAAGCAACTCATCTTCGGAGAGGACGGAGTCAGAAGAAGGACGTATGAGCCAAGTCCCCAGGATGGTACGTGGCGAGTAACGTTGGAGCAGAGCACGCCGTTAGATGCTGGGCAAGAATCACAGTTTGTCTTGAGGTAGTGACTGTCCAGGAAAAACCAAAGAACATTTGCTAATCCTATCCGTGAAGGTCAAGATCCTCATCATTTAGTGCATTAGTGATCCAACCCTTGGCACGTAGAAGTCCACAAGGTGCTTCATGTCGGCTTACCACAGGTTTCGCTACTTGTACTCAACATTCTCCGTATTAGTGGTGCAATCACCAGTACACAATCTAGAGCACTGTAAGCATTGTAAACATATGTTCGTATATGAGTAGTTAGAAGTACTGGTTAGAAATAGATGACAAACTCGCTTCGCAAACTGGAACTTCGACTAGTTCAAATCCCAGCCCGGACTTTCTCCCAGCGAATGCGTGGCGTCTTATAATCAGAGCGGATGTCTGTCATGTACTTTGAATCTTTGCTGATGGTGAACTTCTCTACTATTCTAAGTGTACACAGGATATACCAGAATTGTTTTCATTCTTGAGCCATCTTCGAAAGCAATTACCCTGATGAAGGAGTGTTGTCTGTTCGTTTGAGATACTTCCGTGTAAGGTTTAGGTATTGGCACAATAGACAACGTTTCTGGTTATCAACTACACTCTCAATTAATTTGATACTGCGATTGAATTGATGGATAGTATTTTGAGCTTCTTGTTGCTGTCGAGACACTGTGCACCACCAGAGAGTTCTATGTACGTCTTGCTACTCAGTCACTTAAACTAGCGTCAGAAGCAACAATGAAAACTGTAGAGTTATTAGCTATGATTGTCTTACTCGGCTGTGAACATTTCAACGTAAAGGAGACTTGTCCCGTCACAAGAGACTTGGCTCCTCATCAAGGTCTGACGTCTACCTAAGAAGCGGCCTCTCACACCATGTGCCAACATGTCCCTAGGACCTAGAAGCATGACGGTGAACGAATTGAGAATACCGACACAGGTAACGTTTGGCATTCATGGCTGAAAAGACTATATACTATATACATGAACTTTGACTTCGGACTGTGAGCAGGAAATATCCATCCACATCTTCGTCCATGAACCCAAATGAAACGTTATATTCTCGTTTTGGTCAATGAATCGAACGTGGAAAAAAAGAAGGAAGGGGTTTGTTCTCATTCAAGAGTTGGGACGCGTTGGACACTATCTCATCTAGGACATACTAGTTGGCGAGAGCCCGATTATTGATTTCCGCGGACTTCAAATAACCCAGCATGGAACAAACAGAGCAGCGTATTGTTATGAGGAAAGTCTGAACGGATCAATGTGTGTTTCTAGACTGATTTCGAAGAGGCATACACTATTTTGCCATAGCATTCTTATGAGCTGTCTCTTGGTCTACGTTCCGTCATTGGAGATAACTGGACTCCCCTGATATTTGGTACCATCAGGTCACTGCATGACGTGCTCAATACCACACCCCACTACTTAAGAGACACCCGCCTGCCCAGGCTGTCGGGCTCAAACTTATCTGAACATCTCATTTTCAATTTACCACAAAAGCTACCAGTGAGGGCCCCATTGACGACTGCGACGATTTACGGAACGCAGGAATCGACATCGGTGACTCGACCTGTGAGAGTCCCTTGCCTCGGTATGCGCCCGAGCACCAAAAATCGCTCTGATACGCAAAAGCTTTCACCGCATTGATGGGAACGCCCCCTAGCTTTGCCTGCGGCATTTTTATGTTGCTTATTCGGTGACCCAAGCTGTCCCTGGGAGGATTACGACGATAAGGTGGATCGGAAAGCACCCGGCACGTCAAGAATTGCTTTTTCTTCGATAAAAGAAACGCGAAAGAGGGAGTTCAACGGGAAAAAGGAACAGATGGAACGATAACGACCAACAAACTCGCCGAAGCCGACAACGCACAACGAAGGAAGTTAAAAATTGCAGACGCAATAACGAGGAATTCAGTGCTCACGCAAGGCCCGGGGGGAGACGCGAAAGTAGGAAATGGCAAGAAGGAAACATACGACCGAGAAGCGGGAAAACGGAGTGGTGAGCCGGCATGAGGCACAGCAGCCTATCAAGTGTCAACATGCAACAGTAGGCTGCACAACGAGTGCCGACGTCACCCCCTCCTCGTCAAGCCAGCAAACCGGGCAGTCAGCGCTTGGAGTCGAGTGTCACGAGCAGCCTCGGGTGCAGCGTCAACGATCATGAATGGTGTTGATCCCTCTCAATGTCAAACAGATCGCCTGTAACGCCCCAAACCGTGCCAGTGCTACGTGAGCCTGGCTGAGTCGCGAATTTGGAGGCGATTGGAATAGCCGTGCCCGACGCTATTTTCCTTGGAACCCTGAGTTGGGCCAACACCTTCTCTTGGATGCATGTCATAAGTTTTGCCGAAATTTCCTCAGTCATGAAATGTGCTCGCTTGGTCTCTTCCAATTTCCTTCCTGTCTGGCGGCTTTATCCTGCAAGAGCTGCATGCTTCCAACTCGACTGGATGGCCAGATAGCCTTGGACCCCCTTCGACCATCTGGGACGGATATTGTTTTTCGGACCGGAGTGTTCTCAGAGTGAGACCCCGGCAACCTCTCCACATGACGGTGGAGTCTCAATCTCACCACAGACCTCTCTGCCGTCAATGCCGCCAGGCGAGATGAACCTCAAGACCCCTTCAACCTTCTCATTTATCGTCGGACCTGAGGGGAAGCATGGTAAAGCAAGACATCGTCAATGGCTGAATATCAAGGTCCCCAATCACGATCTCAGAAAGGCTGTCAACGCAAGCTGTGGCGCACAGAAAATAGATCCTGCTCAACATTAAGCCACTAACGCACAAGTGGCGACGGGCTACGATCTCTACAAGAGATGTGGTGGTGGCGCGGGCTGCAGAGAAGAAGCTGGTGGCTCGAGGAGAGAAAAAGCCGGCTGGCTCGGCCGATTCGTCGAGCCACATCGCCGGCGCATCCCTGCACCGCCCCAGCAAAAGAGCCGGACTGGGCCTTCTGACCAGCCAGAGCCCTGCGTTCAACAGTTTGGAGTCTTTGGACAGGCTCGTCTGGTTTATTAGCTTTGGTTTAGAGTTAAATCAAAGGCGACAAACCGCCGGAGAGGCCTCGTCTTGCTCGTCTATCAGCTCTTGCCAGACCTTTCGCTGTCAGACCTGACAGAATGACACACCGAAACTTGAAAGCTGACAGCAGGATAAAAAGGAATACATGTGAATGAAGCAGCTGTCAGCCATGATTCGTCAACACTGATGGACACCAATGCCACAAAATCAGATGCTTTTCTTTCCTTCTTTTCGTGTTGATTTTTACCCTGCAGGACGCATGTTCGCCTCGGCAGGCTTGCAACTTGGTCAGGGGTACCCAGGCACTCTCTTCCGAGTCGGGAATGGCTTCGTGCGGGGGAAATTGGCACCTCTCCAGACAGCGACCGCTGCTCCCCTCCCTTCTCCAGGTCGGGACGGCCACAGAAGCGGGTGGCCCTGGCCAATCAAGCCCGAACATGACAAACGGATGACACCCAAGCGGACTGTGATGGAGGGGGGCGATCGTTGGCTGGTGGCCGCGCTGTTCCTGCGTCTGCCCACCTCTCTCGTTCGCATTCTCGTTTTGCCCTCTCTTCATTCGCCTTTCCAGAGTGCCATCCGGGCTAATTCAGGCTCGTTTGCCTCTCGCAATACGAGCGAATGTTGTCTCGGCAACGCCTTTTTCCCTGGTACCTGAGCTTGAACAACCATGGAGGTAGCTCTTTGCTGAATGTGGGTGTCCCCATTGTGCACATCTCTGGACCAGCCACCTTCAGCCAAAATGCCCAATTGACTTCCCGACCGGAAACTTTGTGCTGCGTCAGACGCATACACACAATCATGGATTTCAGCCATCGGTTCATCTGAGCTGAGTTGAGCTGAACTGGACTTTCCGCACAGATTTTTCGAGCTTAGCTGCGCAACTTCTGATGTTTTCTCCTTCACTCATCGAACATGCAGAGAGGAACCCTCAGTTTCCACCCTGTCATTGAAGCCAAGAAATCTTTCCGCTCGCCCCCAGTCACCCCGGATTTTCTCAGCCCAGCAAACGGAGGAGGAGAGCAACACCCTGGACAATCGGGCTCTTGACCGAGACCAGCAAGTATTATCCGCCATCGAGTCATCGATGAGCGTAATTGAATTAACATTATTCGTCCGCAGAATATTTCCAGGTGAATTACGGCGTAGCACGAACGGTCATCTGGGGCCATGAGCAATCTAGCCTGTTGGACCCGAAATTGCACCCGATCCAATGCAGAAAACCAGCTTCCAAACACTGCAAGGTGCTGGTCAATCTGCATCATGCTACACCCTTTCTAGGGAATCCATCTCCTTCTTCACATGTCCAGCGAAATGAATACCGAACGAACGAGTGACAAGAAGAGGAAAACAGCCCTGCGCAGCATAGTCAATCCTTCCACTCCTTTCCCGCCTGTACCATACGCGCCGCCGCGGCAAGGCGGTCCAAAATCCTCGCCCGGCCCCCGACCTGAGATGATCCCCGTCCCCATCGGACCAGACTGTCCAATCTGGCAGTGGATCCGGCTAGCCCCCTTGTTCTCTGCAACCCTCGCCTCCCCTCCATACGATCAGGTGTGAGCAGTAGCTCGGGGATGCGCGGGGAACTAACAGCATCGAGCCGTTGTCACTCGATTCTTTTTCATCATATCGTTGCAATGCATGCAAGTTCCGTCCAGCCTAACAACAACGTTGCTGATGGGCAAGGATGAAGGCTCCCAGCTCGTTCAACCCCCGGGTTTGCCTCACTCCCTCCTCGTGGTCACAGGTCCTTTTGCTCTAGCTCAAGCCTGCTCGGTGACTTCTCTCTACCTACTTCGTTGAGTCCGTCCTTTTCCCAGCTCAATGCGGCTAGCCAATCAGGTTCTCGCAAACCTTCTCCGCGATTGACCATCTTTTCCACACCTGAGCTCAAAGTTCCCGCCTGCGCATCCACGCATGCACACCGGAGTGCAACCACCCTTCACTTCCATCTACATAAAGCCCTACGTCCCGCAGCTTCTTCCAATATTGAATCTCTATCCCTCTCATCCACACTCGCTTGTCCACATCAATCGACACCCGCTGTCTTCACTGTATTACTATCGCCATCAACTTACACACGTAATACCCCAAACCTCAACCACCGTCAAGATGAAGTACTCTTTCGCCATCGCCGCCCTCGCCGCCCTCGTCGTGGCCCAGGATGCCTCCATCATCCCCGAGTGCGCCCGCGACTGCTTGAGCAAGGCCACCGCCTCTGCCACCAGCTGCAAGGAGGGTGACTACGCTTGCACTTGCAAGCCCGACAACAAGGCTGCCATCCAGAGCGCTGCCACCTCCTGTGTCATCGCCGCCTGCGGTGTTGACGTTGCCGTCAGTATGTTACACCGTCATGCCCTATCCCAACTGGCCCATAGCTAACCCCATCACCAGGCGAGGTCATCCCCGCTTCCGAGAAGCTTTGCGCTGCTGCTGGCTCCGGCTCTGCCAGCTCTGCTGTCTCCTCTGCCGCCTCTGCTGCCAGCTCTGCTGCGTCCGAGGCCTCCTCCGCTGCTCCCTCCGTGAGCATCCCCACCTCCGCCAGCGGCTCTGTCTCCCTTCCCTACAACACCGTCACCGGCACCGAGCCCGCTGCCACCACCACCGTCGCCGCGACCACCACCAAGGCCGGCGGCAGCAACGCTACCACCACTGGTGCTGGCAGCGCTTCCACCACCCCCGTCCAGGCTGGTGCTGGTGCCCTCGCCCCCATCGGCGGTCTGGCCATGCTCGTCCTCGGTGCCCTCGCCATCTAAGCGGCGTAGAGCAACGTGCGAGTCGTATGTCGGCACAGCTATGAGAATGGTTGGATTTGATGTACGCCAGTTGATGAGAAAAAGGTGTGACGAAATGGCTCATGGGCTGAATTCACCAACAAAACTTGGGATGCTCGGCGCGGCACCCTTGTTCTACATTCGGACGTACTTCGGGCGTGTAGTTCAAAACAATACAAGCAGCCTGGTATATAATATTAATACGTCTTTTGATCTGACTTCACGATATCCTCATTCTTTGGTGAAGCCATCATTACTGTGACACGCTCATCGGACCAAGGTCCGTCTTCCTTGAAGGTCAACACACCACCGTTGAAAAACATCAGTCAAGATCTCATACAATCTCCTACCTACATGACCAGTGTCGCCGCCCACCACCCTGCAAGAACAGCCCATCCCATCTTTGACAATCCGTGCGCCCTTGCGCTCAGACTATGAGGCGCGTCCATCAGGATATTGGCTTGTTTGTCAACGTCAGGGCACTTGCCATCCAACAAATCCTGCATGCTAGACCGTTTCCGCACAGCCGCCTTGCCGTCCGGCATGCACTCTCCCGCCTCGTACCCGCGACGGAACTGCAGCGCATTGGCAAACATCCGCGCCTTCTGGTCCGTCGTGAACCCGTCCTGCGGAGTTTTGCCGCGACATGAGGAGTACTGTTTGACGCGTCAGCCTGTTGAAACTCATCTTCAATCGCACGTGGGTGATGCCGAAACGTCGAAAACGGGAATCGCTTACGCTCATGTAGTTGTTTATCTCAACCGCGCTCCCGCCCGAGCAAGGGACCTGGGAACATTCGTAAACCACGTCTTTCATTCCCGATGTTTGCGTCGCGTTCGTCAACCCGTCCTGGCTGGCGCACTGCGTCCCGATATCGCCAAATGTGTGTCCCAAACCCAACCAATGTCCGACGTCGTGAACGAGCGTAGTAGAATCTCCGCCCTGGACATGCGCGGCCTCAATCACGATGCCGTCATTCGCGTCCAAGTTCTCGTTGGGAAAGGTGGCGTACTATCCGTGACAGGCGCGACGGGTTAGCGCGAAAATCCTCCCTTAGCCAGGGCCGGTCGCGAGAAAAGGGGCAACGCTTACGCTATTGAGATCGTCGTTTTGGCTCCCGCGAAGCCCGTTCACAAGCCACACTGTTAGAGTGAGCTTTCCCGGGGCACGGGTGCGCTGCTGCCAGTCTTGCAGTTTGGCTTCTCTGCGTGTGACGACGGACCAGTCTTCGCCGGTCTTGGGCTCCCACCAGTTCAGGGACATGTAGCGAAAGTTGATCTTGATTGCGCCTAGCGCCTCGTTGAGGACGTCGACCTTGCACGTGCGCTGTCAGCTCTCGCGGAAGTCTCGGAGATTCGACGACTCTCTCTCTTACCTGGGCTTTCACTCGAGACTCCAGCTCATTGGGTCTGTCGGCGGTTGATGTGGCTCTCATGTAGTGGAAGTAGACCCCAACCTCCAAAGATTCGACAGCCTTGCAATTTTCGAAGCCACGGAGATCTCTTGACAGGAGAGGGACATAGCTCAGAACCTCGTCGACGATACCCCTTCTCTTCACTAGACTTCTTGCATACTGTGTCTGGCACTGAGAGATGCTAGCGGGTATTGCGATCCTTCCCATGTCTACCGGTGCAGGGTCCTTGTTGACGAAATACTCAAAGTAGGCTGTCTCCAAGATAGCTAGAGCCTTCGCATTCTTTTGAGATATGGCCTTTTCGGGGACATTGGCGGTCAACTCAGCATTGAACTGCTCAAGCGTAGAAGCATCTGGTGGCGTAGGTGTTTTCGATTCAGGCATCTTCTCGACGACGGACCGGTTGACGTTTGAGAATCCATCAGAGGGCTGAGCGGAGAAGGACACTGTTGTTGCGAGGTTCGGTGATGACGGCGAGGCGGTGGCTACGCCTGCGCCGGCGCCGGCACCGGATCTGTTTCATGTCAATCTCTAGGGCCTAGCAATTGTGAAGTAAAAAGCCATACCCGCCTCCCGATCTAGTATCTGTGCCATTGCCATTGGAAGGTGAGCCGGGTTGTGCTGGCCCAGTTTTGCTGGTGGTTGGAGCAGCGGATGCAGCTCCGGTGCTTGTCGCCCCTCCTTGGACAGAGATGGATGGGGCCCGAGTGGCCTGCGGGTTGTTAGAGTTGTCCGGGTTTACGGTGACGACACTAGGTGACGGCGAATCGACTGTCCGGTCGTTTCCCTTCGAAGAGGCGGCAACTTGCACAGCTCCGGATGTCGCTTTGGGCGAGTTTCCTGGTGTCTTCGGCACAGGTTGACTTACGGCAGCGGTTGTTTCTTGGGGGTCGGGTCGGGCCGAGCTGCCTAGGGGCGGTACATCTACATCTGATGCGATTCTATCAGTCCAAAAACATAGGGGAAGTCGGGTCTGATGACAATTACTGGGCGAACTAGCTGACGCGGGCGGTCTCGCGACTGATGATGCTGGAGCATTGGCCGCTGAGGTTTCCGGCTGACGTGCCTGAGAGGAGGCAGCATCTTGTGCTGGGGAGGGCGTGTTGCTTTGGGCCCAAGCTGAGCACGTCAAGGACACAATTATAACAAGTGCTTGCGAAGGCTTCATGGCGGAAAGAGGCTAACTCAGAATTTGTTGGCCAGGAAAGTGCAGACAGCAAGGTTCAAAAAGCTCATGTTGGGTAGGACACAGCATAGCTATAAGAGAACAAGATCTTCTTGCAGCTCAACAGCTGGCCATAAGAAACCGTTAGAGGATGCCTAAAGAGAACAACAGCTGACCCAAATCAGCCACGATAAGCGCGGGGGAAGAGCTGCAGTACATGCAAGCGGAAGACCTGAGTGAAAGAAATTCATGAAGCCAGTCCAGAACCTCGACTTGTGGCTTGAAGAATGCCTGCGGCGAATTTTAAACTCCAGCCACCAGCATTGGCAATGGTTCAGCCGCAGCGCAGTGGGCTAACTCCGAACATGAGTGTTGGATAGCTTCTTGGCAGCTGAACAAGTTCACCTGAGGGCTGGTAATTTTTCACTGTATGATAGATCATCAAGCGGCAAACTGCGAAAAGAAAGTGAGAAGGGAAGAAGAATGCTGTTTATCATGCGATAAAGTACTGTCTAAATCGACATGGCGTTTGGCAGGGGGCGTGATAGGCCGTCATTGCAACTTATTGATTACCACAAAAACCACGTACTCCCCCTCGCACTTGCCAATATGTATGCTTGAACAGACCACTTGAAATGCGTTATTCCTCTACCAAGACGTATATTTGATGTCCGCATTGTTGGTTACAAGCGCCACCCATCCAGGATTTCTGTGTCGTTATAAATAGTCAAGTCGAAGTAATGCACTTGTCTTTCTCCGCCCCGGCCGAAGTTCTCAGAGGTTATGTTGAGAAGGGTAGCTGAAGTTGTTGATGATGTCAGGTTCGTTAACCCAGGGAAAGCATCGTCGATCAATTTCGAAATTTCCTGTGGGGTGTAAAAGTCGGCGCCCTTAGCTTCGATGTTCTTCTGGAAGAACGAAACGTATTCATGCGTGTGATTGACGTCCACGATAGCACTGAAGGTATCGGCTGACAATGCATGGCCGGGTATGACGAGATTAGGTCCGAGGCCCGCGATGAAGTCGAGAGTTTTGAGCCAAGACTCCGTCAGGGCAGGTGTGAGAAGGTCGGCGAGCCAGGCATGCATTTGGTGGCCGTAGACGACGTCACCCGCGATCAGCGTCTTGCTCGACGGAATCCAGAAAGCAGACAAGTCGATCGTGTCGCCACCAACGTTCTTTAGTATCTCGATAGGGCACTTCTCATCGCCTGGGAGGGTGAAAAAAGAGAAGTTATAAGCGGTCGGGATTGCGGGAATGGGGGCGATGACGCCGGGACCGTAGGCGGCAGACCAAAATTCAGTCTAAACAGTGCAGTTGTTAGCCATACCCCTGTGACATGTCGCGTGAATGCTTGCCTTGTTGAGAGCCTCGTTCTGGATTCCATGCACTGTCTCAGGCGTAGCGTAGTGCTTGGCGTCGGGGAAATGTTGCAGAAAAGCCTTTCCGCTCAAATAGTGATCAGGATGATTGTGCGTTGTGAAGGCGGCCAGTAGGGGCTTGTCAGTGGTGTTCTTGACCCAAGCAGCCAGGTCTTCGGCGGCAGAAACGGCGAGGGGCAAGTCAACTATCGCAGCAGCTTGAGAGCCGATAATCAGAGTTGACACAACATCCAGCGAAAATCCCGGGCTGATGTGACTTTCGACCCTGAGACTGCAGTCGCATGATGCCATAACTGGCTGGAACATTGCCAGCAGGGCGGTGGAAATAACGACGCTGGTGAGCATGGTGGCGGGCTCCAAGCTCTGTACGGTGTTTGGTAGTGAGAAACTTGAGTGACCTTTGCTTCGATGTAATGGGAGCACCAGCAGGCAGGCCCAAAAGTCTTATTTATCTCAAGAATTGTATTTACGAAGCGTCCGCTCATCATTTTGCTTCCGGAAGCTGAGTTGAATATTGCGAGTGATTGAGTCCACTCGGATGTAGCCCGAAAGCACGGGACCATTTTGTTTCCGCAACCACCCTTTCCCTCCCGATACGTCCACTTAGGCATGAGCTTGAAAGCTACGGTGATTAGTTGATAAGCCGGCTTCAAAACCTGAGATCAATCTAATACATACATCCGGTCATCAAGAATTCAGATGATTGCCCTGAGTTGAGGGATAGTCTAGTTACCCTATGCGTCTCATGCCCAAACATTGTAATTGCTGAGCCTCCCGGCCCACATGCGATGATTTCCGCTCCACCAATAGAGACTTAATAAGGATAGGGAGGCAAGTGCGCGGGCTGGAAACGGTGAAGATTCTTGTTTAGACATTGGAATGCGTTGACTGCATGGTCAGTGATAGGGACACGATGGATCTCATTGCGCATATTACCAATTGAAGCCGTCAAGTGAAGCTTCCGGAATCAGAATGGGTCGTCAAATTACCAAGTGTGCTGGAGTCATACTTTCTAGCTTGGCGCCTCCACTGTTAAGATGTAATCAGGTGGATAAGTGGCTCCTTCCACGCTCAAGAAGGCAGGGCAGCCGTGAAGGCTGGACATAATTGCCACAGGCCCAGCGACAGCGTGAGATTCCATGGTCCATGGATAAGATGGAACGCCCTTGGCCAACCCTTCGGATCCTTTTTCCTCTGTTTCAGAACGGACTTTGCTTTTGAAAGCAACCGTAGATAAATGTCCAACTCTCCGCTGAAGACTCTGGCGTGAATAGCTAACTAACTGCTACTCGCTCGATGAGACTTGGCATCTCGTGTTCTGCGAAAGAAATTGCGATCTTATACTCAATGTCAGTACATTGTTCTGCGGATTGCCCTAACTCTCATCCCATCAACTGGCTGTGCGGTAATCTGTCGAGACTGTCGATGGTCAGCGAGCGTGGGTAGTTGAGCGCATTCCAATCTTACATTGTAGATATCCGACTCAGTGATGTGCCTTCCTTTCGCGTCCAGCAATGGATCGCCATTTGCTCCAAGAATAGGACTGCCCAGTCCTTGCTTAACGAAGTCGTATCGGCCGACAAGAACAACAAGAATCACCTTGGCCTCAATATTGGCTAGTTCCTGCCCGATGCAATTTCGAGGTCCCCTCTCAAATGGCCTCCAAGATGAGAGGGGGATGTGACCGTTTTCAAATTTGGCACTGGCTTGGGGATCGGTAGCTGACGCATCAAGCCATCTTTCCGGGACAAAATCGTCCTTTGTTTCCCCGTAGACCTGCGGGTCTCGATGGATCAAGTAGTTGCAGTTGTATAGCATCAAGTCGTCGGCGCAAACACGGCTACCATCAGGTAAAACCAAGTGGAATCCGGTTGCTGGAGGGGAGTATCTCGCTGTCGCAGCTGGAGGATGCAACCGCAAAACCTCCTTTATGACCGCAGACGTGTACCTTAGCTGACCAACGACCTCGTCTCCGCCTTTATCAATCATTTCAAGGACACGATCTAGATCAGCACTCTGGCCGAAAACCTGATCTAGTTCGTTCCGCATGCGCGCAAGTGTTTGCGGATTGCTTGAAAGCTCATACAAGGCCCATTGTAACAAAATGCTTGTCGTGTCGTGCCCAGCGAACAGGAACGTCTTTAATGCGCTAATGATGTCGTCCATAATGGGTTGAGTGAGGACATTGATGTCTTTCAGGCTGAGGGCGAGGACACTGCGATTTGTCGTGTTACTGTCTGCTTTGTAGAGATCGAATTTCCGTCGAACAACGTCCCCGAGAAAGGTATCCAAGGCCTGTCCGAGCCGTCGTCGCTCCCAGCGTACACTGAAAGAAGGCAATAATGATGGAGAACCATCGTCACGGTACGTCGCGGCAAACCGTTTGTAATTTTGGATGAAGTCATTCTGTAGTGCGTTTGGATCTTGGGCGTGGAGATCTTCGTCCATAGTCACAGCTCCTAAGTTTTGATCAGCTACATCTCCTAGTGAGCTTCAATGGGATCTGAGTACCGATTATATCGAACGTGAGGTTAGTACAGGGGGAGGAGAAATCAAACACATCTGCCTTGGCCGCATGCTCGTCTAAAATCTGCACGAAGATCTTTGTTTTGTCAAGGACGACCGACAACAAAGTCATCAAATGCTTGGGCGCAAAGCCAGGATTGAAGAGTTTGCGCAATGTCTTCTAGTGATGACCCTACTCCGCCAATGTCGTAAGTACAATCCGCTGTTTCTGATACTATTGCCACTCACAGATTCCCAAATCAACGAATGGTCGCCAACGAGCGGCAGATATTCCTTGAACGAAGGCGACTTCGGTAGGCTGTAAGGCCATAGCTGGGATTGCTTCGAAACCTGCTCGGCTACGTCATGGTTTCTGATCAGGAGCATGGGTTCGTTCAGTGGCCAAAAGTCAATGAATAAAACCGGAGGATTGCCGGCTTGCTCCATGAGGTCGCCAAAGACCGGATCTGAAGTTCATTGTCAATAATCAATTATTGGTCCATCGGTGAAATACATACCAATGTCTCCATCAATGCGGTCTCGATCTTTATGGACCTTGCGAAGAGTTTGGAGATGCCCCCAGATGAGGGATGATTTCAGCTGAGGAACGTTTGCATATTTGCGGAATCGACGATAATGTAACTTGTATTACAGGTAAAGACAGATGATAGGTAGGGCTAAAAATAGCAACATTTTGCCCCAGAGTCCAGCAATACTGTGTTTAGTTGGCAAGGCAACAAAACGTGATAGGCCAAGAAGGGTATTACAGTGCAACTTTCTCAAAGGAAGAACTTAGATTTATGTGAACTTGATTTGGAAGCGACTACTGCAGAATTGGTCAAGGGTGCGCTGAGCTTGATGCAGGTTTCGTATTCACTGGTCGTCGGATTCGTATAACCACAGGATGTCGGGTTCGTATAGCCCCTGTATGTCGGGTTCGTATTGCCACTGGATGCATTGTACGGATAGCAGCAGAGCAGTCCTCTTTGCACGTTCCACTTGCAATCCACATGTACAGCCTGTTGGCTACGCTGAATGGTGTCAATTACGGTTGGATCAAGCGGATTACGCGGCGGAAAACACGGATTAGCGATAGGTCAGGAGGTACAACGTAGCTGATGTAGGATGGGGGTGGGGTTTGATCTACATTCAAGACGTCCGGGCGGCAATTGATTTATCGTCGGGGTCCGACTAGAGTCCGCCCAGCGGCCTAGAGAAATCTCTATTGCCCCTCATTACTCGCTGTTAAGCTTCCTTAACCAATAACCTAGCGACTAAGGGAATTGTAGGGAGCCATTATGACTTTACAACGACATACTGAAACCACTGTCAGCTTTCAACCTAGCTTATAGTACATGATGAGGTATTGAGACTGCGCCAATCATCGCTTTTGTACTGCAAGCTCTTGATCTATGCATGTGGTGGTTGAGAAAAGGAACCGCTCTACTCCCCCCTGCAAAACCTCGGCACATACCTATTCGCAGAAAGTTCAACAATTGATGTGCGATTACTCCCCCCAGAGGAAACCTTTATCTGGTGTGCGTTCTCACTTAGGGCCGAAGCATGATGAATGGCAGACTTTGACGGTAGGTGCGCGTCATATCAATTGTTGTGCATATTGCCAAGTTCAGTAGCTCGCGAGTTCGCATCAACTGAAAGACAACCTATGGAGGGCCGCTCATCGAAAGCCCAACCAGGGCTCCTTAGAAGCTGAGTAATACTACGTATCATATGCAAATGAGGTTCACCACAGTTGTAATCACAACTGGACTTGATACTCCGTCTTTGAACGGTAACTTCTAACTATGTCCCAAGTAGTTCTGCTTTCCAAATGCCATGTATTGCTGCCTTCTCTCCCGAGATCCAATTTACATACGAGTATCTCAACAATTCCACAACCGAGATAATTCGTTCATAATCTACGGAGGCGATCTGCGATCAATTGAAACTGCTGCAACTCATATCATGAGGTCGGTCCTGAATGGTCGGGTTGTAACGTCAGATTTCGATGAGCGGCCTAGCCAACTTCAGTAAATCCTCCACATTACTCAGGAATATTTCAGGCTGTTCCAATGCAGCGAAATGCCCGCCCTACGAAGGCGTTCAGTAAGTTTAAGGAAAACCGATAAGAGGGACAATGGAGGCTTTACCTTTGATTTCGCTTGTAGTACACCAAGTTCGGATAAGCTTTTTTGGCCCATGCTTCGGGCATGAGAATGTTTTCCGCTGGAAATACCGAGTATCCGAAAGGTTTCGCTTTGGAAGTTGGAACATTAAACAACTTATTTTCTACGGCGGCTTCCGCCATGGGTCGATATGGGTAAAGGTTGCGTGAGAAAGAGTTCGTATGCCAATAGAAGGTGACCAATGTGAGAATGTTGTCGAGCGATAGGGGATATCTGTGGTCTGGCCATTCGATGAGCTTTTCCCCGATCCTGCAAGACATTTAGTTTCATAAGTTTCGCCTCAAAGGATCTCAACCTCTTAGAAACTATATGTTGACGTGCTGATAATGCTTTCGTGGAAAGCCTTACCAGGACAACGCAGCAAGCGGACTCGAAGCGAGAACAAGCCCGATCGTCGACGGCCTCAATCCGTGTTCGAGAATGTAAGACGATCCATTAGCACTGAAATCGTACATGTGCTGAACATGTTCAGTTTCCGTCGCGGTGGTGTTTGTATTGCTGAGAATTTCATCCTCAGATGAGGGTGCCAGCATGTTTACTTTGGTCTAGTCAGCCACAAAGAGCAGATCAAGCATACTTCCAAGTTAGCTCACTGTGAAATGCTTTGCATTCAGGGTATGTTGCCGACAGTATCCTAGCGATAAAGCTCCTGATATCACCTCCCTGGACGACATAACCCGACACGAAACCAAGGCTTCGCATCTGCTCGTTCATAAGCCTTGCTGCGTCGCTTAGAGTAAGCTCCACATCCGGCGGACCTCCAGAGAGCCCATAGTGTGGCAAGGAAGGTATGATGACATGGTATGGGAGTGTGTCCGCATTGTACTTTGAAGTCAGTAGGTCCAAGACTGGGAGAAATTCTGTGACCGACCCAGGCCACCCATGTAAGAATAGGAGAGGTAAAGCGTCTTTTCTCTGGGAAAAGAGGGCAATGAAGTGAATGTTTGTGACACCAAGATTGTTGTCGTCGATTGGGATGTTGAAATTAGGGAACCTATTGATATGGTTTTCCTTGTCCCTCCAATCAAAATTGATCCATGCCTCCTTTGCCTCTGCAAGCCATGATCTTGTGGTGCCAAATTGGATGTTCTGGTGCTGGTTATACCAGTCATCTACGGCAACGCTGGAGACTGACAATGAAGTTCGAAATCTCTCTAGTTTGTCTGCGGTAACATGAAAGTTGAATTCTGTTGGGTTTGTGGATAAGTTGAGAGGAATGGAGCTGAACAGGGTGGCCGAGCCCGTTGCTGCCAATAATGCAGCCAAAGCCGGCAACAGAAACATCATGATGCCGACGGTGTAACAATTTGAAGATGATCGGTTGTTTCAATTTGAAGTACATCTCAGAGAATTCTAAGGCTTTTGAATAAAACGCTGGCATCATTATTAAGCACTGAGAGAATTCCGACGCGCAGAGACGCAAATCAGATATGTCTGGTTGGAGTGGTCAGCTGCCATCGAGATGGTTCTCGCAAGGATGGTAAAGTTCATCCGGTCTAATCTTTGACCCGTTTCTCCTGGCGTGGTTCATCAATCGGGTAATTTTCCGACGGAGCTGGTCAGGAATTGAATCGTATCCGACCGTACGCCCGGGCCGGCGTCCGGGACGGAGGACTTTTGGTATCTATCTAATCTGTCGTGATTCCATCATGACAGATCATAATATCTTCGAGATAAGTAAGGAATGAACAGCTATTTCGAAAATATCACGTAGTACGGGACGCGACATTGAGTGATCAGTAATCCCAACAATGCGGTTGGAATATTGCGCCGACTCTGAAGCTATGGAATTCTTGTGGAGCGACGGAACCCACGCACATCACCCGGAGTCTATCTGTTAGACCTAGATAGCGCTTTATTCCCCCCTGTGTCAGTATCCACACGTATTTGTAATACTCCTTTTGCCCCTAGTCTCTTCTCAGGGTGGCCGAGTCACGAGTTTGCCCTGGTAGTAAAGCTCCTTTCGATTAGACGACCGTTGGAATCCATGCGATCTGCATACGCCTTGTCCGCATTTTGATGAAACTTCTGGTAACGTAGTTCAGTCTCATGTGTTTTGAGGTGTGATATTATTCGCTTTCCCTGTAGTTATCTGGGCTGCTAGTTTGGCGACTTTGTCAACGCCTGGCATCATATGCACAGACGCACAGCGGTGAAAGGCCCTCACAGTCTGAGGAAATTTTCTTGAAAAACGACTTTGCATTTGGGGCAAAGTTAAGGCTGAGACTTTGACTCTGGGACAAGTAGGAGTAATGCCATTAAGAATATGAGATTGAAGTGGACAGACGCCGCCTGACGCCAGTATTGTCAAATCAAGGGCCTCGCCAATTGCTTCTCAAAATCCATTCTTCAAACGTGCTGGCCTTGACCCCAAAATCTTCCCATGAGCAGTCATCCACGGGATTCATTGTCCCGTAGCATATCTTATCTTTAGGCGCATGGGCAACCCATTGCACCATTTGCCGGATGTCCTCTTTGAAGCCCTCTCCGGCCACGGAGACAACAGTAGACGTCCAGTCCTCCAGACCAACACTTTCAAAGCGAGCGGGAATACCTGTCATACTAGAGAAGACACTAGCCAACTCTCCGAAAGAGATCTTAGGACTTCCAATGGGATACGTCTTTGATGCAGTTTTAGACGTTCCCGCTATCAGTAAAGCTAGGTAAAACAAGGTTAGCGATTCCAATTCGGTCCCAGCGGTGTCACATACATACCGCGAACAAATATTCCGACATCGTGCCCTACATCGACCCATTCACCAACTGTCGACTCCGGAACTGCAGCGCAAAATCGCACTGTACCGTCGTCTGTTGCATACATCAGACATCAGCATCTACTCGTTGGTGAACGTTTCTTACCATCTCGGCGGCAGTAGTTAGGCCATTGAAGGTTGTCGTAGAATAGCCCTATTCAGTCCCATCAGCCCTTGACAACATGAATTATCGTAGGAGCTCATAATGCGCCAGCCTTACCCGGTATCAGGGTTGTGACGGCGGGCAATCGCTCTCTCGCCTACTGGTCAATCCGTGATTTGAAGTCAAAATGGAACACCTTGCTGTAGCGCCCGTTGCTAGCGTTCTCGATGTTTGGCAAACTACTGAAGATAAAATGCTTGACACCGGTCTTTTCAGCGGCATCGACAATATTCCGCCCAGCCTCGAGCTCGTGCCGTAGGTCTTCCTCTTGGTGGTACATTGTTCCCGCAACGAAACTCTGCGTCATGGCGAAAACGCCATAGGAGCCTTCGAATGCCTCTGCCAAACTCTTCGAGTCATAGACGTCGCCGCGGGTAAGTGTAAGCCTCCCGTGATGGCCGACCAAGGCTAAAAGGTTTCGAGCAGCCGCGCCATCTGGATCTCGGGTGATCGCACGGACATCGAAGTGGTGAGGTGCATCTAGAAGGGCCTTGACAATACCTCGACCTTGGTTTCCTGTGGCTCCAAGTACTGCGATAAGCTTAGGCTGTTTTTGATCAAGGGCGGCCATTGCGTCGTGTTTTGATGGGTTTCTAGTTGGTCTAAACAAATGGAGGATTCATAATGATTTGCTTGCGCATTTAAGCAATTGACAGAACCTTCCATTGCCAGAACAATTTGTCACCATGGACGTCTTCTCGTCAAGCGAGGCCGTCGGAAATGCAATCTCTCCGGCCGTGACGCGTGAATTTCATTGATGGCCCAACCTCCGCCGCAATGCTCCACCATCTTAATATGCCGTCGGCATGATGCGGTGTTTGGAAGGTTTGTCAGCTATCTAGGAGGCACATATGGTCTTGTTTGGCATTAGGATCTCGAAAAGTCTTAGTATGTTATTCATGGTGCGGAGCATATCCCAACCAATCACGATTAGGCTCTGAGTCTGACAAACATAAACTGCCCAGACCTTTCCGAACAGGCACACGATAGATCCATCCTTATTATGTGAACGATTGAATCTTCCGAAGAAGGATTCGTCCATGGAGCCACTCAACTATCGGAGTCTCAACAAACACAATACACCCTTCGTAGATCGAGAAGAGAACATAGGTCTCGGTATTACAACGAATGATTTTAACAGGTCATGACTACTTGGTAACAATAACGAACAATGACACTTGGATCCGATCATATTCTTCTTCTCAGAACTTCACAACCAGCTTGCTCCCTGAAACCTTTCCTTGACGCAGCAAATCCAGCGACTCAAGCAACACCTCAATCCCGCCATCAACCACTTTGATGGGGGGCGGATTGAGTGAGGTTTGAATCTGAGGCAAGATCGCATAGAATCGGGCCAAAGCCTGGCGGTGCTCGATGTTTATAAGAAACTTGGGACCAATCGGAGGCAGCCAGGCGAACTCGCGGCCAAACACGGTAGAAAGCATGATCATATCGTATTTGACTCCAGGAACCTTGGATTCGCCTTGATCGAGCAACGTGACAATCTTTCCGCCCTGAGATTTGATGACGTTGGCAATGGCTGGTCCGGATCCTCCTTCAGAGAAGCAATCAAAAGCCATGGAAATATCTGGAAATGCAGTATCAACTTCTTGAATCCAGGTATCAGACCTGTAGTTGAATACATGATCCGCACCGTAGCGCTTGACGAGCTCATAGGAGTGAGGCGACGCTGTCGTAACAACGGTGTATCCTGCAAGCTTCGAAAGCTGGATGGCGAAAAGACCGACGCTCGTGGAGCCTGCGTAGATGAAAATAGGTTTGTTCGTTGACTTGAACGCTAATGACTGCGGACCTGTTCCCGGCTCACCAGGCCATGGAAGACCCAAGTGAACGTTGACCGCCAGGACGGCTGTCACAGCCGAGACGCCGTACGTAGCTGCCTCTTCGTCGCTAACACTGCGGGATCTTCCAAGCTAGATCGCTATCCGTCTTGAGATATTCCGCAAAGGAACCCCGGTCTCGGTGTAGTCCGCCGTGAACAACACCGGCGACGCGATCACCTATCCTCCACGTTCCGGCCGCGGAATGCCCGACCTCGACGACCTCTCGGGCATAGTCACACCCGGCTATGCACCCTTTTGGGGAGATGACATCAATATGCTTGAAATCGCTAGGGTTGAGAGCCACAGTATGCCCGAGGCAGACTTATTTCCTGTTTTGCGAAAACTTGGAATTTCTTTCGTTGCGTATTCGCCGATTGCCGGGGGATTCCTCACCAAGACCAGAGAGCAGATCGAGTCTGGTGGGACCAGGTTCAGCCCGGATCAAATGTTCGGCATCTACCACAAGCTGTATGTCAAAGACAGCTACTTATCTGCACTTGAGGAGTGGGGGAAGATCGCAGAGGAGGAGCAAATCTCCAAGGCGGAATTGGCGTACCGTTGGGTTGTGTACCACAGTATTCTCCGCAAGCAGTATGGCGATGGTATCGTGTTCGGTTCCAGCTCTTTGTCCCAGATGGAAGAGACACTTTTGGCTTGCAACAGAGGCCCTTTCTCTGAGAAGGCAGTGGAGGCGATTGAGCAGATATGGGAGAAGGTGAAGGATGAAGCCGGCGTTGATAACTACCAAACTGTTTTCAGCGGCAACTGAAATAACAGATTACTCAGCTTGTAATAGGTAGTTGATAGCTCATTTGTTTTGCTTTTTCAAGTCATGATACGTGAAAAGTCGCCTTTGAATTTATTTCAAGGTAACAAAAGATGGCTCAGAGTATTTATTGCGATCTTGTTTTGAGGTTCCATATCATCAAACCATCTGAAGCGAGCTCGAGAGACGCCACGAGCCACAGAAATGTGATACGAGATGCAGTGGAGGTTGGCAGCATGAATCAAAAAAACTCGGATGCTTTTTGCTCATAAGGGTAGCAATATCATTTAGTCCCTTCCAGCAGGTTTGGTCTTCCCCATCAGAAGAATATCGGCGATTGGGCGGTGGTAAAGGTCTTTGCCGGCCCATGCTAAAGGCAGTCTGCCCCAAGATATGGTATCATATGTATTTGTGATTTGCATGGCGGAGATACGTTATCTCCCTTTTACTTCCGCTTTAACACTGCACGCAGCTGACAAAAGTGCAGCAGCGGAATTACTAGCATCGTTGCGTCACAATGACCAGTATTGAAACTTGTAATCGTTGTAAAAGACATATTTATCTATGACTTCCGCGTTTTCTACGTCAATATCACTCAGTCGACTTGGTCTTGCAATACATTCTTTTGTGATCATTGAGAACAAAATGGCTCCAAAATCTCAAACAGCGATTCCCATCGTTTTCGGGGCGATGACGATTGGGTCATCTAACATTAGCGGTCTCAAGGTCACCACCGTCGAAGATGTTAATAACATGCTAGATCTCTTCCAATCCCGCGGCCACAACGAGATCGACACAGCCCGACTGTACGGCGGAGGAACGACGGAGACCTATCTGGCTGACGCCAAGTGGGAAGAGCGCGGTATCGTGATGGGAACCAAGCTATATCCGAACAGCAAGACCTCTGGGGCCACGGGGCCACTGTCCTACACGCTGCGTGCTGGAGACGTCCGTCGCGGACTACTAGACAGCCTCAAGGCGCTCAACACCAACAAGATAGATCTCTGGTATGTCCATGGTCCAGATCGCGAAACGCCACTGGAGGAAATACTGAGCGAGGTCAACAAATTGCATGAAGAGGGACAGTTCAACCGTTTCGGTATCAGCAACTTCATGTCTTGGGAGGTGGCCAAGATCTGGGAGCTGTGCGACAGAAACGGCTGGATCAAGCCGACCGTATACCAGGATGCTTAAAACGCACTCCATCGCGGGGTTGAGTTGGAATTGATTACTTGCCTTCGCCACTACAACATAGCCCTTTACGAGTTCCAGCCGTTGGCCGCGGGATTCCTCACATCCAGGCAACGTCGCAACGACTTTCAGGAAGGCTCTCGGTTCGATTCAAAGCATGCTTTGAGTGCGATGTATCGAAGCAGATACGGCAGCGATGTTGCCTTCGATGCCTTGGAAATCATTCAATCGGCTGCAACGAAACATGGCCTCTCTGTGGCTGAATGTGCATTCAGATGGCTTTCTCACCACAGCGCCTTGAACAAAGAAAAAGGAGACAAGATCATTATTGGAGCAAGCAGCTTGAAGCAGCTGGAGGAAAATCTTGACGACTTGGAGAAAGGACCGCTGCCAGAGGATGTAGTGAAGGCAATGGAAGAAGCTTGGCTCGCTTACAAGGCCGTCGTCCCCAAGTATTTCCACTAAGGTTCCCAAGACCGTAATGAGTTCTTCAAAGGAAGCTACATTTTGGGGAATTATGTAAACAAGGATCTGGGTCGTAGCGTTGTCGACCCAATTGAAACACAAATGATGGCCTCGCTGCTCTTCTGTTGCGTCTTCCTATCCAACTTCCTTCCTTCAAACTTTGCCCGCGTTCACATGGCTAAGCAGCTGCCTCGGGGTCTTGAATCAATCGACGTAGAATCTTGCCCGAACCTGACTTCGGGATGGCCTTGGTGAACACGACCCCTCCTGTCAGTCTTTTGTATGCCGCGAGTCGGTGTTCCATGAAAGCTTCGATAGCTTCCACGTCGATTGTTTCGTTCGCTGGGACGATGTGAGCCTGTGGGCATTCCTGCCCGTTTCTAGGTTCCACAAAGCACGTCAGCGAAAGGCCTCTGCAATCAAGACGACGTGAATGGTTTGAGGAGACCACACTTACCGCATCACGCGTATCACAGCACAATCTTTAACAAGCTCATGCTCAAGGAGATGCCCTTCAAGTTCGGCGGGGGCAACCTGCACTCCGCCAACTTTGATGAATTCCTGGGCGTTGTTAGCAAGACCAATCGCTGCCCGGACTGAGACGGGAAGGAAGGCCCACTTTCTTTCGGTCAACAATGGTCAAAAGGCCGTTTCTCTGAAACTTGACAACGTCTCCAGTTTTCAGCCAGCCGTCTTCTGTCAAATTCTCTCGTGTTGCGCTTGGATCCTCGTAGTAGCCTTTGAATATGTTTGGGCCCTGGATGAAGGCCTCCCCCTCTTCCTCGTAGCCCAAGTCGCGGCCATCGTGGCCGACGACCTTCAGTCGCATGTTGGGAAGAAGGTACCCGACACCTTGGTGAGAAGGATCAAACTCGTCAGGAGCGAAGAGGGTAACAGCCATCGTGGCCTCGGTCATTCCCCAGCCTTGTCGACTGTGTGCCTTGTTGGGGTTGAAGATTTTCTCGAGTCTCTTAGAGACATCGGGCTGCAAGGGCGCTGCTCCGCAGACGAGAGACGTCACACTCGAGACATCATACCGCGATAAAAGATCGCTTTTCAACAACAGAACAACCACTGGTGGGGCTAGCAGGAGGTGCGTGACACGGAACTCCTGAATAGCACCAAGAAATGTATCTAAACGAAATTCCGGTAGAACAACAGTCGTGCATGATCGTCGAACGTTGGCCACGCAGCACGTGAGTAAACCACCTAGAGCCCTCATCAGTTATCACGGTTGCGTTCGTCTCACTTTCCTGACTTACTAGCATGGGAGAATGCGGAAAATATGCAATGGACATCGTGCATCGTTTGATCCGACTCCTTCGCCTCGGGCCTGGCATACTCGATCAAGGTGAAGTGTTTGTTCGCTGTTGGCCACAAAGTTGTAGTGTGTGATCATGCATGCTTTGATCTTTCCCGTAGTTCCGCTGCTGAAATTCAGGGCAGCAATCCTTGCTGAATTGTCAACTCTTGTCATATTAAGGCAAGGAAGGTAGCGTTATTACTTCTCTGTCAACACTCCTGTGTCATTTTCAACCTGCCATACCAGCGGTTCGCCGAACAGGTCACCTATGTGTCGGAATCCACCGGTCGCAGCCTGATCTTCCCCGTCAAGGAGTATGACCGAGGACCTCGGCAAGCCAACAGCGTCTGCAGCCTCAAGAACCTTGTCGAGTCGCTCAGTGTCAGTGAAAACGAACTTCGCTCCGCATAGACTGAGTTGCTCAACAACTTCTAGACGCATTTTAGTAACAAGCAAACAATGAGAAACAAAGCCCTTACCTGTCGAGGTATGTTGCGAATTCGCGCCGGAGAAGATCCCACCGGCGCAAATCGCACCAAGAAACACTACCGGGTACCAAATCTAGAACGATGAGACTTTAGAGTCCCAAGCGGATGACCATTTCGTGACCTCTTACTTACGCAATTCTTGGCGAATGCAACGACAACATCATCATCCTGTAACTTGAGGGTCTGGCGAAGGCCACCGGCAAGTCTTTTCACGCAGGTCTCTAGTTCACCCTTGCGCAATGCTTTCGAAGGCTTCCCTGCGTCAACAAAAAGAGGTGCATCACTCTGCAACGCTGGCGTCCCTGCGTTCTTGGTCAACTACGCTACGGCAAATTTTGTAGAGTGGTCATTTGAATCTCACCAAACACATAAGTAAGGATATCCACTGCGGGGATGTCGATTTGATAACGAGAGGAGAAAATCATGGTGTCGGAGATGGTGGTTCGTGCCCAACCTTGCAATTAGGTCCCTGAACATGCGCTTTCTCCGACGATCTTTATACCAATGTGAATCGATCAAGTACGAAGACAGCGACAGTTCACGTCAAAACCCAGGAGCGCGATCATTCAATGCTCTCCGCGCAATGGAAGATGAACACGGTAACTCCGTCTATACGATGTTCCGCAGTTTTGGCCTCCCTTGCACGACTTCCGTGGCTTTGCATATCGCCAAGACAACGGACCTGCTGCTTTCGCCAGCAGAATTCTGTGTAACAGGATGTCATATTTGAGATGGAGCATACGTCAACCACGTGTTCGTGATATGGAAACATACTGCAAGGGTATTGCAACTCAGAGCGTCCTCAATATGATCTTTCAGAAAAGCATCTAGCCTTCAGCCCATGGAAAGTCTGGTCTGGACCATTAATTGAAGCGAATGAATAGCCTTGGCCCCGCCGATGCCGCTGAAGCGAAAATAAACCACCGTGTAAAGTGGGGTGGCTGCCTCTATGTGTATGTTGACAGCGCATATCCATATCGCTTAGTATCGTGAGATGTGGCTCCAGCTCAACGGACTAATGGCATCCCAAGTTTGATCGATCCAAGACCCTGGCCAAGCGCGCATTTGTGATCTTCAGATGCAGTGATCTACCACTAATGCGAGGAAGTTCACTGCATATGCGCGAACTTCCGTGCTTTCCACGGAGACGCGCCGTTGAAGGTTCACGGAGGTTCCTACCGAGTCCAGTATTCCGGATGGGTTGGGCTCCGATCCATTGATGAAATATTACTGCCTCATGTGGGTCACTAAGGGCACTTGACGGCCGCGCGTGTTCATGACGGAACGGCCCGCAAAGAAGCCAGCCGGAACTAGAGCAGGTGATTTGCCGACAAGAAGTGATGGGACTGTCGGATAGTGATCCATGAAGGGATGCTCGAGTCAGTGAAATCCCGTCGGTCATAGACGGTCCAGCACAAACACCGTCGTTGCGCCGGTTGTAGGGACCTACGGATCTCTAGGGATGTGCCGGACATTCAGAAGTTGATACATCATAGCCGCGCCTAGGGCAAGTTTCACACCTCCTCGGTACTGCCTTTTTAGGCCTCCATGCCGAGATCAAAAATATTGATTTCCACAAATCTATGATTAGTGAGCTTTCATAGACGTTGTTCGTTTTCATGAGGGGCATTGAGTGTCTCCGTAAGTGATGAGAGTTGGCTGTGGGTCAAGCGAGGCCAGGTTGACAGAGGGGAAGAAACACCCTAAGAATATTGCCACGCGAGTGACATGTCAGCATGGACCAAACATGGACGTGTCAGTCATGGAGCGATATTCTGAATCGAATCTACTCCTGTTACCCTGTATGATGAAGGAAGCCATGTCGCTGTACTTTTAGCATGACCACCAGGTTCTATTGCAGTTGTGTTGAAACCGGTTGTGCTCACTTCTATCATCTGTGTTGGGAGACATTCCTCCATGAACCATCATCCCATGGCGTAAGAACTATCCCTAAATTCTTACTACGGTACACAGCAGACTATTTGTGATCTCTTATTAAACCGTAGTTCAGGGGCTTGGAGTGAATGGTGAGACTTTCTGCCTCCCGCCTTGCCATACCCCTTTTCAATTTCATAATCATAACAGCTGACTTGAGGTCGGCTAACAAGAACGCTGGGCTGAAATATTCAGTGGAATACCGACTGCCAAAGCAACCTTTCATTGCCGACGTGAGAACCGGAAGATGTTCGTGATCATCTTTCTGCCCACGGATCCAACTGAGCAAATATTCCGAACTTTAAATCACGAGATATTTCCCCGAGTATGAAATGAATGTTCCAGTTACGTATCGGATCTATCTTCGATTGGCTGTCTATTGTTGGAATCTAAATATTGAGGCCACTCATGGTGTTGACTCCGCTCACGCCTTTGCTTCCAAAGGCACCAGCTCGAACAAGACGGTAAGCGAAGGAGGGCACATGTGATGCTGCTTGATGCATCGCCAACCACCGTCTTGGAATACTCCTTCCCAATCCTCCACTGTGGGCAGTTTCACTCCCATGAGCGCGTGCCCAAACTCAAATCCCAACGTGAAAATCGGCAGAGCATCATCGGCCACAGCATGTCGGGACTCGGGGTCCCCGATCGAGATGCGCACAGTGTTGCACAGAAAGAAACGCTTGACGTTGGGAAAAGACCGGCAGAGTCTTTGCAAGGAGCTCACGCAGTTCTCCCTAGGCCAAAAGTCGTGACCCATCAAAAAGGAGGTCAACAAGTCGACTTCGGAAAACTCGTCGCGGTATTCGACCCGACGAGCTTCGCCCTCGAGGAAGGTGATGCGATCCCCATAGCCGCGCTTGACAGCGCCCACTTTGGCCACCTCAATCGCTGGGCCAGCAATGTCAATGCCGATGGCAGTGCTCCCGGGGTAGCAGTCCAGGACTTGCATCAGCCTTTCACCGCTCCCGCTGCCCAGGTCCACAGCAGATTTGAAATCATGATCAACCTTCTTGAGAGCATCAAGGAAGACAGAGTCAATGAATTGCGCATTTGCATCACGGCATGCGTACGCAATAGCGGCGGAGTCCCGGGAGTAGTATCTCCCCGAGCGATTCTCGTTGCGCAAGATGTACTGCATGTGTGAGAAGACACTACCGGAACCCAGGGCAAGCCAGTGAAAAAGACTCTTGGTACGGTATGCATCCTCAAGAAGTCGTCCCGGGCTGATGAAAATTCCCTCACGCTTGAGGATTTCAGCTGCCGACAGAGCGAGGACGAGGCCATGGGTCGACTGGACGTCTAGGTTGTACTGGGCTGCGAACTTGTCGACGTTCACAGGTTTCCCCTTGCGAATCTCGTCTAGAAGCCCCACCTCCCAAGCGGCACCAATGGCACTAGCCGCGATGTAAGAGTTGAAAATCTTGGTGACATCCTGCTCAGAGGACGTGGTGATAGGTTGCAAGTTGATGATCGAACCCATGTTGATTGATGGTAGTTGGAGGCTTGCTGCAGTGATAACGTGATTTTGGAAGTTTAAAACGAAATGGCTGATCTTTTGAAGCAGGCTGTTGACCGTGAAGGATGGTCCGAAGGTTTTTGACTGACTTGGATTGAGACAACAATTTTGGCATTAGCAACATAGACGATGGCCCCGGCATCCCACTTTATACCGGGCTGCGATGTTCGACCTGTACAACGTCTGCAGAGGCACCTTCCAATTCTTTCCAGCGACGTCTTCGGCAAACATCGTGTTGTATCGTGACGTATTGAAAGTCCACTATTCACGACGGGGGACCCAACGCAGGCTGCAGTGTTTCCGGGATGTGACCTCTTGCGGACTTCGGACTCTTCTGTCGGGAGACCTTCTTTCACGTCAGTAAACTTCATCCTTTGCATGTTGTGGAATCATTTCGACATGTCATTTACTGTGCCTCTTGCTTCGGTATTCCACAAGCCAAGTGGGCATTTTCTGCCCACGACACTGCAAAACAACACGGGACTTTGCTCGAAGACTTCACGAAAAGACCGGAAATGCCGTATTGGGCAAACCGAGACAGAACCACGAGGTTTACTGTTTGATTCTCTGTTCGTTGAGGTATATCTATGTTGCTTCCATCTGATGGATTTGTGTTCATTCCACATCATCATCAATCACAAGACCACAACTGAAACAACACGTGCAATTTCCCCAAAAACCCCTTTCTACCATTTCACATTTCTTGAATTATCCCATCATGTCTCCCAGTGCTCAATACACTCCAGTTGGCACTGAGACTACCTCTGAGCGTATCAGCGCTCCTATCAAGATGAAGTCGCTTGTCCCGGCCTACGACATTGTCGATGGCTGCTGCGTCTGGCATTGGCGAGACAAGGAGTCCGCTGCCGACGGCTGGATCGTCATCGACTCTCCTGTGCCCACAGCTGCCGGTGGTGGCTTGTTTCTTCACTCTAACGCAACCTCCGACGAGGTTCGTGATGTAGCTCGCTCTATGAGCTCGAAGCTTGCCGTTTCCTCACAGCCCCAGGTTGTGGGTGCTAAAGGAGGCATTCGGTTCCCATCGGAGGACCCACAAGCCCCTCTGGTTCTCGAACGCTTTATTCGTGACAATGCCGGCGTCCTCTCGGTCTACTGGGGCACTGGAGGAGATCTCAACACGGACCACGCGGTCATAGACAAGCATGCCAGAGCCTACTGCACTCCTGGTACTTCAACGGCTCTGGATGCGCTGTACCGCGCCCTGGGCTATACAGGGCAAAGTTTCGCAGATATACCAGCTCTGCTTGAAGAGAGCATCGACAATAACGGATGGTCTCTGAGCGAGTATTGTGTTGGCTATGTCATGGCTATCACCCTGAAAGAGCTTCTCTCTCGCGCAGACCCGACTTTGATGGGACGAGCTCGCCTAGTGCTTCAGGGCTTCGGATGTGTCGGTGCCACCTTCGCCCTAGCAGCGGAGCAGTTGGGCATCGGACGTGTTGTGGCAATCTCCAGCCAGTATGGCTTTTACATTGACAACGACGGCATAGACTGCGTCGCCATTGAACACGCGCGCCGCAGCGGGGCTGGAATCTATTTCGCCCCAGGCTTGGATCCCAGGAGTCTCGAAGCCGGCCTCTCCCAGGCTGAGCTCTCATCCGCCGTAAGGCGGGCTCATCTGACGAGGAGCATCTTGCCAATTTCCTTGTCGGGGCCGAGGGCGAGGCTTTCGTACCCTGTGCTGGACGATACGTTCTTACGCCAAAGACAATTTCTGCCTTGATCAATCATACGTTCGCTAAAGTCTCTGTCTCGTCCCGATTTATCGTCGCTGGAGCCAATAACGTCTTCAGCCCCGCTGAGAGCAGAGAAGAGACTCTTTCGAGTCTGGACTCTGCTTCTATTCGAATGCTCCCTGAGTGGATCAGCAATTCCGGCACTTCGAATCTGTTCATGCGAGCCTGCAGTGGTCTCGCCTTGAGAGGTTACAGTGCTTCCAACCTTGAAGCGTGTGCCAATGACACCAAGGCTTTTATCAATGCGGTATTTGCCAAGATTGGATTGTCGGGGACCAATGTTGCCTTGTGGGATGCTTGTCATGATTTGGTGATGGCGCGAAGAGCAGCTGGGGCGGTCAACCGCCTCGGAGTCAAGAGAATGTCACATTTTACTCTGACTACGCCAAATGTTGCTCGAGCTGGGGAGACTATTGAGCGCGTGTACAACGCCAGGTTCAACGAGGACAAGACACTTTATCAGCTTCCTGGGGGTGACGATCCTACATTGAGCATCGTCAGGGCGCCCGCAGGAACCGGCCCTGGTGACATTGGCCTTTCAATGCGGTTCTCCGTCTACAACTTGGCGAGGGCTCGTGCAATGCTGGAGGCTGACGGGGTCGCCTTCCACCAAGTCAAACTTGAGGATGGCTCAAATGAGCTTGTTCTCAAACGTGAGGAGGCGGGATATCCAATAAGTCTTGCACAGGCCCCTGCTCGGGAGTCCTCCAACAGTGCCTTCTCCAACTCCTCCGAGGCGCTGAAGTCGGTTGCTGGGTTAGCCTACCAGCTCGATCATTATGCTGCCATCATGCCAGACGCCACCAAGATGAAGAGCTTTCACGAAAATATGATGGGTTTCACACACTTGCGGACTTTCACGGTCAACGCCGGTTCCGTTACCAACGGGGAAGACGACGGCTTGATGCATGTGATGGGATTGCCGTTTGATACCAAGCGGGTCCTGATTCTCACCGAGGGACTGAATCAGGATGCTGTATTCACGAAGCTCATCAACAAGCATTGTGGTGCTTACGTTCACCATATCGCTCTTGAGATAGAAGACGTTGATGCTGTGTTTGCAGAGGTCAGGGAACAGGGTTGGCAGACAACAGCAGATGCGCCCAGTACAGACCTGGCTACAGGGCTTCGGCAATTCTTCCTGAAGGAGGAAGAGATCGGGTGTATCTTGGAGTTGATTGGCAGAGGTGAAAAGGATGAAGCTCTGGCTGGAGCTGAAGGCGTGGAGGATGCAGCTGGTGCTGGCGGCTATGCCACTGGGCAAGGAGAGTTTCGTACGGACAATATTGTGGCCTTAGCTAGATCCCTAGACGCCTGATCTAGGCTCATTTCGGCTATAGAAAATGCACCTATGTAGTATGCAAGAAAGCCATGATCTCAATACCTAGCTGCTTTGCTTGAATTTAATTGCCAAATTGAAGCCTTTTGCCTGGTTCAGTGGCCATATATGCCCTATTGGATTAATGAGAGGGCGAGGCCTCTTAATCACCACTTGGTCAGGGTTATTCGGTAACCATCTTTCACTTCAATTACCTTCCACACGATGTGGGCCGACCTAAGGTAGACTTCTTAACGACGATTCCTTGCCATTTCTACAAGACGGCATCATGTCACTTTTCACCAATGATACCAGTCCTCGGAAACTAATTCGCCCCGGGAAGTGGGCGTTGGGGGTAATTGTCACCACGGCGAACACCTGTTCATTGAAACTAAACCAAACTCTATCATCAAATCACGTATGAGAAAGATGTAAACGAAGGTCAAGAAGAGAAAAAGAAATACCAGCTTTGTACTTCAGCCCCAAGCCCCCGCAGCAACAACGCACTCAATGAGTAATTCTTGGCGTTCTACATGCTCAACCTGAGCCTTCTCCAATTGCAGTCTGGCGATCCATCACCCGGGCCAAGTTAGTGACGAATCACGCGGCGCTTGTGGCCAAAGTCATAGCCGCCGTAGATCGAGGTAGACGAGCTGGCGGTGGCTTCATCAGATGTGCGGGTCTCCATTGTGGTGGGAGTGACCAGGGACGGCTTGGCCTCTGAGACAGTGGTGCCGGGGGAAGAAGTCGGGTAGGTATCGTAGCCACCGTTGATAGAAGAGGAGGGGGTGACGAGGGAGGGCTTCGCGTCCGAGACGGTGATGCCAGGAGTGGACGTTGGGTAAGAGTCGTAACCTCCCGAGATGGAACTAGACGGAGACTCCGAAGGGCTGACGGCTGATGGCTTGGCGTCAGACACGGTTGTGCCGGGAGAAGAAGTCGGGTAAGTGTCGTAGCCACCAGAGATGGAGCTGGAGGTGGTCACTGCGGATGGCTTAGCGTCCGAGACGGTGGTTCCGGGAGACGATGCCGGGTAGGTGCTGGACTGAGTGCTCGACTCGATGTTGGACTCGGTGCTAGACTCGGTCTTGTGCGTGGTGCAGGGCTTCTTGGTGGAAGAAGGCGACTCGGTAGCGGTGGTCACGTCATCGGAGGTTGTCTCGGTGCTGGTGCCCGAAGAGGTTGAAGTCGTGTTGGTCCAAGAAGATGAGGTGGTCGTGGGATAGCTCAGAGTAGAAGAAAGCTTGATGGAGCTAGTGGGAACGGTGTGCGAGGGGAAGCCGGTGGATATACCGGTGCCGGGGCTGGTCGAGCTGTAGCCGGTGCCGGTGCTGGACGGTAAAGACTTCGTCACGGTCACGATGATGGTGGATCTCAGGGTCGTCTTTGACTGGGATGCTGTGCCAGTCTCCGGGAGTTGGTCCGATACAGTGGTGTTGATGACCGTGGTGTAGGTGGCAGTGGTGTACGAGGGGCAACCGTAGGTGGTGCATGGAGCAGAGGTGGTGTCAACATCCGACGGGGTGGGGATGGGAATGGTCGGAAGTGTGGCTTCGGTGGTGGTCAAGGATCCCGGAGTGGTGCTAGGGATGGGGCGAGTGGTGTTGCTCCAGAGGCTGGAGCTGGGGTACGGCACGCTGCTAGCACCGGTGCCCGTACCGGTGGTGAGGGAGATACCCGTGGACAGGGTCAAGGTCTTGGTCTTGATTGTTTTCGTCCGGGTACGGGTCCTGGAAAAATATCAGTGAAGAATCCAAGTGAGAGACACAGAGGATGACTTACGTGGTATTGGCGGGCGAGTGATGAGAAGTGGTCAGACTGGGTAGCTGAGTTGAGACCGTGGTGCCAGGGGAAGATGTGTCCGGGGGAGAGACCGAAGTAGGGCTGGTTGAGGAACCGGTACCCAATGGAGCGGAGGAGGTCGGGATACCCGTGGTGGAGTTGGCGTAGCTAGTGGGAGTAGAAGGCTTCGGCGGGATACTGATTGTAGGCAAAGACGGAGTTGAAGTCCATGTGCCGGGCACTGAGCTGGAGGCTGATGCGGAGCAGGTGTAGAAGCACGGCTGAGTCTCAGTCACGGTGACTGTGACCGCAGTGGCGCAGTTGGAACCGCACGCAGTGACGGTGACTTCGTTGGTGATCTCAATGAGAGAAGTCACGGTCAATGTCGCCGGAGGGCGAGCAATGATGTGGCCGGCCTGGGGGATGGCGCTCACCAAGGAGGCACTGCCAAGTTAGCATGGTCAAAGATGACTGAGAATGACGACTTACCCAAGACCCAAGAGGGCGAGACCGGAGGCAGGAAAGACCATGGCGAGCAAGAGAAGTGGGAGTAAGAAACGAGTGTGATGCTGCGACGGTTCGTGCTGGCTGGAGACTAAACAGAACAAGACCGTCTTCTCTCGCCGGCTGCACTCCTTTATATCATGAAATGATTGTCCAACCTTCTATGCCGGCCAGAATAACACCACAGCCAACTCAGAGCCCGCACTCGTTACAACACGGACGGAAAACGGGATGCTCGGCAGACTCCCTCAGCACGCAAGCCTGCCCTCGATCTAGAACGGGCTTCGATAAGGGCTTGCCATGCAGCTGGCCGTCAAGTGCGAGCGCCACATCACTCGCTTTGAGTGTCTCGGTATTGCATGTCAAGGTAAACCGGTTTGTCTCTCATTGCCTCGACGTCGTTGGGGAAGGACAGTCGACCAATCGAATCAAACACCAAGATTTCCATCCTGCTGCAGCCATCTATCTGATCCCAGCCACAACGTCCCCCTTCATAGAAAGCCGTTTGGTTTCTAAGAATATTTGCGGGGAGGCGAACGCCGGACGCAAACCCGCTGCCGTTTGGCGGGTTGATGGCAATCTGCCTACATCAAGCCACAACGTGGAAACCTGCATGGGTCGGAGCAAGCTTCCGATTTGACACTGACAGTCGAGTCGCCAAGTTTGTTTGTCGCTGCTAGGATCATCGGGCAGATGGACAGTCGTATGCACGCTTTTCTCGCTCTTAACCTTATGCACCTTGTTCAATGACAGACAGACCATCATCGCCAATCGACTCTGCCCTTACCATTGCAGAAACGACTTTGGAGCTGTCTCAAAGAAGTTGGACACTGAACACACGGGAGAGGAGGGCCGGAGAGGCCGCGGGTTCGGCAGCGGCTGCAAGTCTCCGTCCCACGCAATCTCAGGCAACATGAACCGACTGCGCACACAATTCAGCGGTCGGGGATACCAAATTCGCCGCAAATTTGAAAATTTTTGGTCACGAAAGATGTTTTCACAATCCGCCGTCAAAAATAGACCAACAGCCCTCCCATCAGCCATCGTTCCACGTCTCCAAGCTCAACACCATCCCAGAGGTTTGGGTTCACCATCGTAGATACAACAGCTGCCGTACCCAGAATCTTGCAGCATTTGAAAAGCGACAGGCTTTGCGCTTTGCCGCAGGGCGAGTACCGTACAACACGAAAAGCGTCCCCTGCAGAACGTGTGTACCTGCATGGGGCCAGCTGCATGCATGCTGCCGGTACACTATCGCAGCCAAACATCGTCGGCTTCCCATTGGCATTTTGGCCAATGCACCTGACGCGGTCACGGAATGATTCATTCTGCTCTCATTGTGCTTATTAAGGGGAGCATGGCTCGTGTTGCCTCACCTCAGCCCGGAGCGATGCGTAATGCAGCTAGGCTACTGGGAGATCCCGCAAGATTGACAGTCTGCGGCGAGATGCACACCGACTATGCGGAGATGCAATTACGCCTGGCAGAAATGCCTGGTGGCATAGATTAGCGGAGAAGCCACGCCATCAACCTGACGGAGATATTCTCGTCGACCAAGATTGCAGGTTTGCGCTCCGTCTTGTCTCCTCCGAGTCGGATGATCCGTCTCACACCCGTCGGTGTTTGTCTTCGCTTGACTCTCGGAATTTAGGACGGGACTCGGGTCTGTCCCTCGACGCAGAAGGTCTGACCGGACGAACTTTGAGCTCTGTTTTCCATGCGACCGTATTGCGCCGCCTCATGGTTGAGGGCGATCGAACGCAACGTGTCGTGCGCCAGTGGGCGCTGGCAGGGTGGATGTGGCTTCGTACCCCGTCACGGGAAAATTCAGCTCAAGTTGATGTCGACGCGGGCTGCTCACATTGTGGGTGAGAGGCTACAAACAGGCAGCCGAGACACAGCAAGGGACTACGTGCGAGAAAGGACCCTCGCCAAGGCTTGCCGGACATGGGTTACACAGCAGCATTGGATGTTGCAGGGCCACATTGCGATACCGTCTCTCGAAATTGAATTTGATTGTTTATCCCCAGCCACTTTAATTCATCTCTTCATGGTCTGACCGGGATGCTAGTCTAGCAAGCTACGTTGACGGGAAAAACTAAGCCTTGCAAACCGATCGACCCGTTCGTGATCGGTTCTAGCACCCATGGTCATTGATGCAGTCGCATCCGAGGCCCTTGCATGTCATCGTCAAATCATTCCGCTACGTCCCAAGTAATCTCCCCACTTAGAGTACCGCCTTAAGGGCCTTGAAAGCATCGTCGCGGGTGCCAGAAAATCTCGACTCGGCAGTCTTCCAGTTGATGACGTTCCAGATGTTGTCGACGTAGGCCGCCTTGCCATTGAGGTACTACGCATCCACCCCAGTCAGTGATTCCGTTTGACACGATCAAAAAAAGAAGCATTCACAAACCTGAAGGTAGTACGCGTGCTCCCACATGTCGATGCCGAAGATGGGCACGCCCTTGGTGACGGGGTCCTGGTCCTTGGTTGTGATGATGCTGAGACCTGTCGTATCGTCCTTGACGAGCCAACCCCAGCCGCTGCCGGTGATGCCCAACAGCGCAGCGTTGAATGATTGCTTGAACTTGTCGAGGCCGCCCCAGACGCGGTCGATCTCGGCGACCAGGCTGGGTGCGGAGTCGGGAGAAGCATCCGGGCTACAGGCGGGGGAGAGGTTCTCCCAGAAGAGGGAGTGGTTGATGTGGCCTCCGCCGTGGAAGTTGAGTGCCGCCAAAACGGCGATGCGGCTTTGGAGAGGGTTGGCGTTGTATGTTTCGATAGCTTTGTTCAGGTTTGTGACGTAGGTCTGGTGGTGCTTGCTGTGGTGAAGCTCCATGATTTGGGCCGAGATGTGAGGTTCCAACGCCTTCGGGAGGGGTTAGTCGGAGTTCCTGGTGCCGAAGCAGGGGTGATACGTACATCGTAGGCGTAGGGGAGCTTGGGAAGCGTGTACTGTGAGCTGGCCATTGTGAATCTCGTGTCACTTGGACGTGTCTTAGTTAGGTCGGGTCTGCGTGAGGTGATTTCGTAGTCAGAAGTTGAGGATGAGAAGAACAGATGATGGAGGGGTAAGCTGCTGGCCTTGAGAAGGAAGAGAAGAAATCCCTCTGGGGCAAGGAGGGGTACTGAGCACATTTCATCATCTCGGCAATGATGGGGATATATCCTCCGTCGAATCCGATGATGTGACGGACACCTTGATGGCCGAGAGCTGTCATTAGACTTAGACCAGTCTCAACCACTCAACGGTGTGCATGGATCGGGGTCATGGAAATGGTGGGGACATTGTCCAGCTTTTTGAAACAAAACATCAATCGCGATACATCTTGTGATGCGATTCCTTCACGGTTCAGCTGTTATGGATGAGATTTGGTCATCTGGCGATCGTGTACAATGCGCGCGGGCATTACCTGATCAATATTGCTCTAACTTGCTCATCCAGATTCCCTGTTCTGGAGCTGATGGATGATTGTGATTGGCTACGCTATTGTTCGTTGATGTGTGGAGAAGCCCCGGGCCGGTCCCGTTCGCGCTCGTTTTGGGATGACAGGGGTTGTGAAAGGTATGAGGACCTTGAGGGAGTTTGAGCTGGTCTAGATGTTGCTGAAATACTGACTATTCCAGCCTCTTGAAAATTGTCCCTTCTGTTTCTTCCCTATACTGAATTACACCAAGAAATTCCTAACCGTACTTCCCAAGGCACTTTTTTCACCCAACCCAAATCTCAACATGTGCGGCCCGGATACTTGCACTAAGCCTCGAGGTGGCGCGCTCGCCGTCCTCAATCAACCATTCTGCCAGCCAAGTCCGCCAACATCACTTTGCAGACTACGAGGCGACCTATCCTTTCACACGCCGGGCAAGCCAAGCAGTCTCTTTGCCACACATGCGAGGATTACCAGCGGAGGGGACCATGACTTGCCCACGTTGTCGGACGTTGTCGTCGTCATTCAGTAAGCTGCAACATCCAAACGCAAGAAGACTAAGGGCACATCTAACGTGTTATATCTACAATAGCAAATCTGGCGATCTGTCGAAAAGACCCGAAGACTGTGGCCTCTTCCACCAACTGGCTTTTTCCAATGCATCCGTACTCGAAGACGGCTCGACTTTGGAGCTTGCCCTCAATGAGCCGATCTCCTTACAAGTTGGAGATGATGGGATCATCGGACGACGAGTCTCGGTGTTTCCGAAGGCCGAAATGGAGAACGCAGTGGCAGAGGGGATTGTCGGCTTCAATTTTGTGAATTCTTTGTGATTATTGGCGGTGCTTTTATGTTGGCATTGCGAGGAGTTTGGGATAATTCAGGTTTTGGGATATGGTTTTCACGGAATTGGGAAATGCTGGATCATTGAAGAGGAAACACGACCACCAAACTGAAATACATGAATAATAAAATCTCCAGGGAAATCTTACCATACCATGTAAACATTCCGGACTTTCTTGGCCGCCAGCAAGCGAACCGGAGCGGACATCAACTAGCTCCGCTCCGTAGTGGTGTGAACATTCGGCCACGGAAACGGACGGCACGTGTGGGATACGGCGGCCGAGAGTACCGACACCATCATCTCATTGCCATTGTTTTGGCATTCACTCGTGGTATCTGCATTTTGAGAGGCTTGTTTGCAATTGATTCGGCTGATCCGGCTCTGTGGTTTGCATGCAGCGGGTGGTTGTTGACGTATAAAGACAGGAGTCCAGACCGCATCGTAGCAGGATTGATCATCATCTTGGAGTGCCGCTTTGGTTTTGTTACCAGGAACTCTACATACTATTCCTCAATCAATTCAATTCATTCAAACGTGAACATGGGTGTGATAGCAGTTGCTGGTGGTACAGGTGGCATGGGTCAAGCCATTGTCGAACAACTGCAGCTTACCAAGAGGTATCCGTTCATTATTCTGAGTAGAAAGGTAATTGAAAAGATCCAGATATTGGCTCGGGAACGTCACTAATACCTATCAAGAACAACGAATCATCATTCCATCCACCTCTAGTCCAGGTTGACTACGAGGACGTGGAATCTTTGGTCAAAGTCCTGGACTCGCACAACATCGAGACAATCGTCAGCGCCATCTCCATGCACTCCGAGCCCTCGTTCAAGTCGCAGCTCAACTTGATTGATGCGGCAGAAGCGTCAAAGACGACCCGACGCTTTATACCCAGCGAATTCGGGGTTCTCAATAGACCTGAGTATGGACTGAGGTACTGTTTCCGAGTGTGCTCCTTGAAGCTGACGTATTGCTGGAAGAGATGGCAGAGATGAAACCTTTCCGACACCGTGGATCAAGACTGCCGAAAGGTTGAAGAGCTCTAGGTTGCAGTACACCCGCTTTGTGAATGGCTATCTCATGGACTACTGGGGTATGCCTCATTTTCCCAGTCACATGTCGCCAGGCCTTTGGTCCATCGACGTCTGCAATCGACGGGCTGTCATTGCTGGCTCTGGTAACGATATCATCAGCCTGACCCATTCAAACGATGTGGCACGTTTCATTGTTCGTTCGCTCGAATCCGAGGACTGGCCCGAGTACAGCATCGTTGTCGGTTCCGATGTGACTTTGAATGAGGCTTTGGCCAAGATCCAAAATGTTCGAGGTTGGCAAAATTTTGCAATAATACCAAGCATATGGCACGTATATGGGAGCTAACTTACTGCGCTAGGGGGCATCTTTGATGTAACATACGACAGCGAGGAAAAATTGAGAAACAATGACGCCACTCTTTTGGAGGAGTTAGAAGGAGATGCGGCGCTGCGGATGAAGCAAATGACATCCTTTTTCGGGCGACTTATCATCTGTCACCGAATGGAGATGCCGAAAGAGAGGCGAATGAATGACAGGTATCCGGACATACATCCAGTAAGTATCGAAGAGATGATAGATAAAGCTTGGATGGGACGGTAAATTAGTCACCGCAATACTTAACACTTTTGAGGGCAGAGTCTCACGATGTATTGTTAAACAACTGACATGGTTGAATGGAAATATTCCAGCCAGCTTTGTGCTCAATCAACCCAGACGTTGACTCCTGCATTGATAAGCCCGTAGATTATTTCCCATTGCGTCTTGCATTTTCCTCCTTCGTATTCGTCGGCTTCAGCCTCATAAAAATGCCAATCTCTGTATTGGATCATGTCCTCCAGAGTTACATGGCCATCCAATATGAAAGGGCAATTGTCATGAAAGCATGAATACATGGGCTGAAACCTGACTGTTTCGAAACGAGGATAAGACCCATCCGTGAACTCCAAAGTAAAGATTTCGAAGTCTTCTCGAACACCGTGAAAGTCACCATCCAGTCGCAGCTCTTGGAGTGAATGAGGGAGACCTCTTAGGGCGAACCCAGGTTTGCAAATGTTGCAGTGAATTTCGAGAACTTCGAGTGCGTTGAAGGCACTGAATGAAATTTCCAAGTCTTTTCCCTCCCGAGGGAATGATACAAGGGCGAGTCTTCTCAAGGTGTCCTTGTGAAATCTCTCAAGTGTTCGGACGATTGGGGCTGGACCATTATTCTCTGTCGGCTTGATCCGTACATGGTGCAGCTTTTGGCACGATCGCAAAATATCGACGAGTGCCGCCGTCGATACATAATAATAGTAAGTCCCGCCGCTGAATTCATTTTCTTCCAGAACCAGGGTGGTGACTTCAGACCAATCGATATCAAAGGGATTAGCCGGAAGGTACTCAGCTGAGCGGAAGCCTTGGAGATGAGGCGAAAGATTTATGAGGCGGTACAAATCTCTCGTCGATTCAGTTGTCCGAGTATGCAATGCATGATTGAATTGTGTGAAATGTCGAAGTTCGGGCCGGGGGGGCTGTTCTGGAATACTAGAGCAGAAGCTTTGATTGTATCCCTCGATGTCAACAAGTTCAACACCGCTTGACTTGAGAAGCACCATGCCCGCCAAGAAGCCATTTCTCCAGTCTGCAGAGTACCAAGGCGGAGCCGGCGGTACGTCTAAATGGAGGCTCTTTGCCACATCGGCAAGGAAGTTGGCTTCTTGATCACTGCAATCAAATTTCTGGCAAAGGAGACCATCCCAGTCAATACGCACCCATCGAACACAGCTGCCCGAGTATGGGTCGTTGACGAAGTGTCTGAGCAAGGCGACGAGTTTCCGGCTGCTTTGTGACCCAAGATTGACTTCCGCGTAGAGATATGGCTTGACGGCGTGGTTGAGGCGGCGGCAGGTCCGTGAGATAAGGGTAAGAGTGTGGATGCCGGCGCGGTTCTGTCCGAACTCTGCGCTCTCACCGCCATCGGGAGTTCTCGTGTCCGTGGAAAAGTGGGAGAATATGAGATGGTGCAGCTCGCCAGGCAAATTGACCAATGACGCCATGCCGATTGTCACGCTTGGTACTGCAACAGAAAAGAAGGACAGACGAAATAAAGTGAAGATTCCAAGCAAAAGCTTTCCGTCAATGGGTTGGTGACACTTCGGCCGAACAGCATCATCATGAACGCGGTAAGCGAGATGAGATCCCTGCGCCCCAGGTTCATGCAGTGGAGTCCGTCATCGTCACGTGGAGATCTACACCTGCCCCGATAAGGAGCATGCTCTCAATAGGTGCATTTTCCCGTCAAATCAGATCCATCAACATTAATGATTTGTTCATTTCCAGGCCTCACGCCGTCCAGATGCATCGTGACTTGGACTATTTCCCAATTTTCTAGGTAGCAATGTTACAGAATTTTCTTCATTTGGGATCTCTAAGAGGAAAACGGGTCATCGGCAAAGCTTATGCATGGTCAGCAACCAATCTTCTCATCAACAACGCTCATGGACTTACAAGGTGTTCCCGAAGCCATCATCGCAAACGAGACGACCTTGTACAGGGCTGCACTGGGCACCATCCAAGACAGTGCGACCACCGCTGTTCTCCTTAGCGGGGACAGAATCGGACTTTGCCGGCGTAGGCGCGGCCATAGAGACGGAGACGATGCTCGCGAGGGCGATGAGGATAGCCTGGAACTTCATTTTGGCGTGAGATGGAGAGAGAGGTGTTGATTTTCGGGTTGGCGTGTAGCGATTGGAAAGCGACGCTCGCAAAAGTCTGGCCGGCCAGGATTGTTTTACAAAAATTGACAGATTGAAGTGAATTTCCCGCTCGCAGGTTGTTGACCAGAGATCAACCAGATGCAAACATGACGGGACAGCGGCGCTTTTAAGATTCTCTTGCAGATCAATCGGATCAAGCTTATTAGGGGTCAATTGCAACTCTTGGTAGACATGAGACGAATCAGGAGGCGGAGGTGGCAGTTGAGACGAACACCCCTGTTTCCGGCCTCCTCGGCTTTCGAGACAACCATGCTGTCGTCTCAGAGTCTCCCCACAATCGCGTAAAAATGTTAGATCCAAGGTCAATTCAAACATTTAGCAGTTGGCAATTGCAGGGGGTTTCTTTGCCGAGTTGCTACTTTGGGATTGTGTTTTGGGAAGATTTCGCGACGCGATGAGGTCGCTCCCGCGAGACGCCCATATGCAGGGCTAATTTACCCTCGTTTCGATTTCAACTTACATCTATTCTTCCATGGTATTTCATTCTGTTTCCGAGGTGGACAGCAGTCAACTCAATGTCGTTCATTCATGGCTCGTTGGATTATTCGCACAACCGATCAACACGCTGACAGCCTCCCACCGGGTGTCCGAGACGCATAGATGCCTGAACCAGACCAGGATTATGTCACTGCAACTCTCGTATTACGAGACGTACAGACTTCCCATTGCCTAAAAGCCATGTTGAGCGGGTTCTCCACCACGATCATCCGACGTTGAATATGATGGGCCCTCGGGCCTCCCGCGATCGTGATGCCCTCCTCATATGGTGGAACTGTTTCGCAAATCGATGACCGAAGATAGTATGAATCGGATGTCAACGCACTCTTTGTTCCCTATCTATATGCCACCAATTCGGATCACAGGTTCTTATCCGCAATCATGAACAGACCATCACAAGTCGGGGCCTACACTGCCTCCAATCCCTTCGCGTCCGACTCCTGCCAAGGAAACCTCTGCTCGATGGACCGGATCAATTGTTCATGTCGGGGCGATCTAGGCTTAATCGTCGCTTCGTATGGGGCTACGTGGCTAATTGCTCCTGGCAACGGCTTAAAATCCGGTTCGTACTCTTTACCGTTGGCAACCGGTTTGCCAATGTCGAACACGGCCAGCGACTGGGCAAAGTTGAGGTAGAGCGAGTTATCGGCAAGAATCTTGCCAGGGCAGATGCGGCGACCGAACCCAAACACGTATCTACGCGGATCAGTCTCTGGTTGGGCTCCCAGGAACCTTTCGGGTCGAAACTCGGAGGGGTTCTTGTAGAGTTCTGGGTTGTGCATGAACCACCTGGTCGTACATCGCGTCAATAAAGTATCCCGAATGGCTGGAACGAAACCAATTGGTTATTTGAGTCCAGAAACTCACCAGATATTGCAGAGTACGAGGGAACCCTTAGGAAATCTGTAGCCGGAGTAGGTAGCCTCCTCAGAGCTCATGTGAAGGAGGCCCATCGGGGCAATTGTATGCCAGCGTAGAACTTCCTTAATAAGTGCTTCAAGGTATGGCAAGTTGTCACGATCGCTGACAGTAGGCAAGCGTCCACTTCCAATTACTCGGTCGATTTCTTCCTGCGCCTTCTTTTGTGCCTCGGGAAACTTGGCCATGGCGAGGAAAAACGCATTTACCGATGCCACGGACTGATATTAATTAGCTTAAGTTCATAACCACCTCGGTAAAGGTTGCGCTGAGGCGGGGAAGTATCTTACTGTGTCAGCGGCGCCACTGAAAATCGATCCCGCGGTCCACATGTTGTTGTGTACGTCCTCTGGGGTGTCCTCGCTGGTAGCCATTGCCTTGGCGAGGTACGAGACGTTTTCTCTGCCTTCGGCAATTTGAGTTTCAACGAACTTGTAAGGTCTCTCAACTGCATCGTGAAACTCGGCCCGGTATTGCTTGGCCTGCCTTTTCCATTCAGTACCGGGGAACCAGTCAGGGAGATATTTCACTATGGGTTTTCGGTGGGTTAGATTATGACTATAACACAAGACATCATATAATCTTTAATCAACTTACATATCGGGAAGAAGTCAACTAAGTAACGTCCAATAACGGCTGACCGTGCGAAGTCGTCCATCACCTTATTCATCTTGCTGAGGAGGGGGTCCTTCTTGAACTGGTCGGCATTATAGCCATAGGCAATTTTCAGCGCCACAGTGCCAGCCTCCCTAACATAAGTTCAAGCATATCAGCGGTCGTGTCCAGGGCATGAATACGAGTTTGACCTACTTGTGGATGTGTTCTTTCAGATTTCCCGGTTTGTCAAGAACGTGCAGCAGGAAGTGACCGACCTCGGCTTCCTGAAGGTCATCAAATTGCGCCGCTGTTGTTTTAGTTCCGATTATGCGAGCAAAGACTTTGCGATGGAGGCGGAAGATGTCGTTGTAAGGTATGCCGCCCGTCGCTTTGTCCCAACCAACCCTTGAATGCTGTTAGATGCGATTCGATATCGGAAGACCGAAGGATTTCGAGGATTGCCAAGGCCTACAATTCACCAATAAATGTCAAGCTTGGTCTCGATGAGAACTCGGCGGACTTCTTCTCCAAGATATCCAGGGCAACCTGAGGATCATTGATCACGATAAACGGTTTTCCAATGACCCTAAGGGCGGTGATGGGACCTTTTTGAGTTCCGATGGTGGTTAGGCAGAGTGTTTTCTTGTTGCAGTGTTCAAGCTCACCATATTTATCCTTGAACTTTGCATATTGAGGGGCTGCAAATGTGTCCTTTTTGGGAAGGTCGAACATATTTTGGATGATGGGATAGCCTCGGGGGCCGGGTGGCAAAGGCAAGCTTTGGGCATTCTTTCTCGCTTGAATGATCTTGTCTATAATAAAAACAGCAACCAGGGCGGCGACAAAGCCGATGATGAGTGTTGCGTCCTTCATCTTTGCGATGTGCAAGACTTCCTCACGTATAGGCCCGAAGGGACTTTGGGGCTGACCGAAGGGATGCTGTCCTTTTTATATCGAGAATCAGCTATCGCGTCAACGAGGACCGCCAATCTCCTCATCGGGGAAGGTCAACGATCGGACTCTACGCCAATGAGAGGAGAATCCACTGGTATTATGGTGGCATATTTAGCGCACAATCATTGGTTTCCGGGGTATTGAACCAGCAAAACTCGCTTGGCAGCCTGCAGTCAGCTTACCGTTAGGCATGCGCGTGTCTCCAAACCCCTGGTCCCAAGAGCGCGGTCACTCACGCAGTGCGCCGGAAACGCGCCGAAGTCCCATAAACTTGCCGAAAATCACCAAAGAGACCGCTTCTGAGGAAAGATACCAAGGTTCAGAAGGGGATAAATTTTCGAGCGGACCAATCAAGATCATCTGATATCAGATCTATCGTTGTCTTTGCAGGATTTAGGCGAGACGCTCGCTAGGCTTTGGATCCACTTCACATCCCTTGACGTACACCCGATTGAGCAGCGTGGCCTGGCATTCGTGAACCCATCACAAGCTAGAGACTGCCAAAGTCTTGATGTCTTGGTAAAATTCCATGCAACGTTGATTGGAAACTAGAAAAGGCTGGATATTCAAAAAGATAGCAGCCCGAGAACCGCAAGCCGGAGGCCGAAACCGACCCGGCCCCACCCCGACCGCAGTGCTGGAGGTTTCGCCCAGTGCCTATCTGCCTCTTGCTGCATGCTTTTTTTTGTTCATCACTCAATATTGACATGCGTTCAGCATAAGAATTGGGCAATATTATCACGAGGAGTTTTCAGGGATTTCTCCACGCAGCGCGGAACGCGTAGATTTGAGCCTAAAGGTATGATTAGAATCGTCGTTATGTCGCGGATATCGTTCACTCACGTTCTCGACGTCCCAAACACCAGAAGTCGCATAGACATCTTTCCTCAGGTCCTCGCGCACCTGTTCAATTGAGTTGCCAACAACAACGACGTGACTGCCAACGAAAGACATATCATCCGAATTGTCGCTCTTGGGAACACTGTCCAAAAGGGCACCTGATCGAGCTATAAGTCGAATGCCACGCAAATATGGATTATTTAGTAGGGAGGATATTCATACCGCCTGTTTTCCAGACTCCACTCTCCATCAAAGGCATGGCGTTAGCGAAGTGCTGGCTAGCAATGGCAGAATTAGCTGATGCACCCCAGAGTCAGTAATAGTGCCGACAGATACTCACGACCGGACCTCGATGCGTTTCTCACGAGTTCCTGGCTTGTCTGGGATGATGCAAAGGAATTCGTATTTTCCTTCGGGAACAGAAACGCGGTAAAGAGTTTGTTGCGACATGTTGGTGCTTGGGGTGAATGATGGATGCTGGAGACTTCGTAGTGGTTGCTGCTGAGTTTAAAATCGGTCGAGATGGTGATGCTATGGCCGACCTTTTATTTACGAATCAAACTGACCATGAACTGATGACAGCAAAACCGAATCACGGTGCAGCCACATTCTTGGCTTGAAGTGGCGTTGACATTGCGCCCAAGTGAAGGGGCCGATCCTCGGCCCCGCAGCAAGGGCGTCAAGGGCGTGTCTTGACCGCGCTATCAGATGCGCTGCATCGGAATTACCATCCGAAGTCGACCCCGCCTCAAGAAACGAGTATCATCTGTTTGCAGCTTTAGCGCCAGCAATTAGTCCCGATACCCCGGTTTCTGATCATGCGTGCCAATGCAATTGTTCAGGAAGGCAAGTCCTTCGCCGCCAAGGAAGTCGACCTGCCCCTCCTCCAGGAACATCAGGTTTATGTTCGGGTCAACCATGCGGCCTTCAACCCCACAGACCGTACGCGACACCCATAATGTCTTCAAACCCCCGCACACTGACTGGCAGCAGGGCTGGCTCTCGATGTCAATGCATTTGGTGACGGCGCTGTCTTGGGCTGCGACTTTGCCGGAGAGGTGGTGGAAGCTCATCCCAGCGTGACCAAGTTCGCCAAGGGCAGTAGAATCGCCGGCTTCATCTGGGGCGGTATGTGCATGTCCCGGTGTGAGCCGACATGAACTCCATTTGACCATTTCTGATGCTTTTGTAGGAGAGATTCCTGGCCTCGGGGCTTACTCGTGAGTTCCTCTCCTCGCGCCCAGCAGAGCTCAGGCGAATGAAGGCTGAATCTTCTCTTCTCAGCACGCATACTATCGCGGATGAAAGACTATCGTTTCAAGTTCCAGAAGATATCAGCGCCGCGGAGGCAAGCACAGTTCCTCTTGCGGCTAACACAGCTTGGCTGGCGCTGTTCTCCTCGGACTGCCTTGGCCTTCCGCGAAACTCTTCGAATGAAGACCCGATTCTTATCTGTGGTGGAAGTTGTGAGCATCCATATCTCCAAGGACATCGCGAAGAGGACTGACATCGTCAAAGCTGTTGTTGGTTACTTTGCCATACAGCTTGCCAATCTACACGGCTATATGGTTATCACCACATGTAGCCCTCGTAACTTTAACAGGGTCAAAGCAGCCGGTGCTACCCACGTAATTGACTATAACGACGAGCAAGCAATCGCACGTATTCGAGAAGCTGTACCGAACCTGGAACATGTGTTCGACACGATTGGCAATGCCACGTCCTCGGCCACTGCATCAAACGCGCTCAAAGACTCTACTGGCCGCCTATGCACCGTTCGTCCAGGCAAAGCCAACACGGAGAACGTGCCGTCGACAGTTGAAGTCTCCGACGTTTTCGTCTTCACAGCCTTCCCAACCGCGCATACCTATCGCGAAAAGGCACACTGGCCGGTACGTCAACCTCGTGTGTCTCATAGGATAGGTAGAGACAGGCTAGAATCATGACATTGTTTGCTAATGAGACTTGTTTTAGGTCAACATCCCAAATCACGAACTGAGCATAGACCTTCATGATCAGCTTCCCAAGCTTCTTGATGAGGGAGATTTGAGACCTCCGAGTAAGAACATACTTGGTAGCCTCAGTCCCAATACAATCGCACAGGCCATGGACCTCAATAGAGACGGAAAGGTATCTGCGGAGAAGATTGTCTTCAAAGTTGACTATTGAGTAAATACATACGCCCTGGTTATTCACCAGATGTGAACCTCGCATTGAGGACCCTTTCAGCAAAGAATAAGATACAATATTTGAAAGTATTTTGACTCAGTATATATCCATGAATTTGTGATATGGCATTGTGCGTCCTCACATTCATGTTTCAGGCCTGTAAACCTACTGATGCAGTTCGCCTGTGTGTAAGGTACTTCCAACATGTTGCTTGAGGTCCCAGCCTTCACTAACACTATAGCTGCTGTAAAACAAGAGCGTCTGCAGCAATATAGCATGGAAATGGTTGTACTACGTGCGCAGAAGCTCGTACCCTATTGCAACTTTCACGGTGGTTCAATGCTTAAGCAAGATGTCCCGCTGGCTCTTAGCATCATATACGTACGGCTTACCTGCGCTTCATCCGCAGTGGCCAGTATGTAGTTTAATTCACCACGGCTTCCCTGATTGGCGATTCTATGCTTCCAATGTTTTTCAGTGGGCATTCGCTGAGACATAAAAGCTGTCATGAGTTTTGCAAATTTTCAACGTTTTACACGCACTTCTGTGTCTTGACATCGAAGCCCTCTTCCTGCTTGGCCATGTCTCTGTCTTCCTTCAACGGACTATTTCACATAACTTCACCACATGTCCCCGCCTGGATCTTGTTGGCGATGATAGACATAAACCTTGATGCTGTTCAAGCAGGCCGAGGTGTTCCTCCACGAGAGATACCTGATGTTTTTACCAAAAATGACGGCGGGTGAGGAGACTACATCACTTATTGTTCGAGTTGGCTGATGTGAATTAGCGACACCTTCATCAACACGCTTCGGAATGAACCAAACAACGAGGATGTTGTCTGTGCTTTTTTTGACAATGCATTCATCTGGTTCGCGGCGTAAAATACCGACGAGGTGGTGCTGCCCTACTACCAAGCCTATGGACTTGTACGTGTCGATCTTCAACATCCTTGAGAAGGTATCAAGTCAATAACATGATCTTACATGGGTCAAAGCAAGACTACGTTTACCTCCTTGATTACTTGCGGTTCAAGGCTCTCAGACTCAATGCAATTACTGAAGACGATTGGGATAGTCTGGCAACAAGGCCTTCTGGTCAACCGGCATAGATGATAAAGGAAAGGTGATAAGTGGAAAGTGGAATGATCTGTTCCGTACGGCGTTGATGCTTGAAGTTGCCCTGTTCCAATCGAGTGGGCTCTAAGCGGAGTTGAAAGTAACTCAAAGGGTGCACGGGACCTTTGAACAACGTCGAATGGTTTCAATTCAGAGACGCTCACCCGCACGCGCAATATCCATGGGCAGTGGAAAGTCCGCAGTGGACAAGTGGAGTCGGGCTTTCGTCTCGCTCATCCGCCAACATCATACCGGGATAAGGTCGACTCAGGGGATCTGGTAACGATAATAACCCGCTGGGTTTGCGGATGCGGAGTTTCAGGGGTTGTTGATGCTCTGGTACGGGATGGTTGCGACGGCATAGAATACTCCGCACTCCTCCAGCCGACGTCTTTGCGAAGTATTTCCACTGCAGCGGAAGTTCCATTCTGAAATGAGGGAGAGCCAATCATTTTCAACCCAAACTGCAATAAGTAAGGCGTGGTCGGAGCCAGATCCTTGGGCTGCTTACGCGCTGCGTAAGCCCTACGAAAGACCCTTTCTGCGACAATAGTGGTGTCTATCACTGCCAAATCCAATTGGACTATGCCCTGTTTCATTCACATGGGGTCGACCCTTCTACAGAACCATGCTTCTGTGGCAGAGATGGCGCTGTGCTAGTCTTTCAAACTGGCAGAGGCAGTGTGGCAGCCTAACGTGCGGGCAACATCCGTCTGAGTGGCTTGAAGGATCCACGTCCACCAATGGCTGGAGGCCAAGAAGTCGCCGACACCTGGGGGAAAATGTCTCCGAGCCCTATGTCAGATAGCTATCTGGATTGGGAAATGACCTTGTATCGCCATGGCGGAAAGACGTCAGATAGCTACAGAGAGCTTCTGGATAAAGGGAGTCAATGTCCCAGTCCAGGAGGCGGTTGTGCACCTGCATTATGGTATTTTCGTCTATTTGCCCGATTTGGATACTCGAAGTGTCGTACACGCTTATCCGAGGAGTCTGTGTCTGATTTGAGCTGCTTGGAGATCCTCACTGTCGTCTAATAAGATGGATTCGTCTCAGTCACATTCCACGGTTGGGAGCCATGTTGCTGTGATTGGCACTGGCATGATCGGATTGGTTGCGATGAAGAACCTCATCGAGCAAGGTCTGCAAGTCACCGCGATCGAACAAAACGAATTCATCGGCGGAAACTGGCATCTCAGTCCCAGGAAGGGACAGACCACTGCGCTTCCCTGGACATCATTCAATACTTCCAAGCAAACGGTAAGGATTGCCTTCCACGATTTCTGTCTTCCCGCGGTCGGCACCAACTTACGAGGTCATCAGTGCCACTACACAGACTTTCCTTTCCCAAAGGGTAAGTTTTCTTGGGTCCCGTCAAAATTCTATTGCGTTTGTACTGATTATTATAACATTCAGATGTTCCTACTCATCCACCTGCCAAGGACGTCGAGCGCTACCTCGAAGCGTATGCGGACAACTTTGATCTGAAGCGCCATGTGCAATTCTCGACGAAGGTCACCAAGATCGAGCGCGATGATGATGCCAACAAATGGACGATTTATACTCGCAGCACCAAGTCAGATACTGAGAACGCAGCCGAAGAACAACAGATATTTGATCGCATAGTCATCGCGACCGGTATTCTCAATGTGCCTGTCAACGTCAATATCAAGGGAATCGACAAATTCGAAGGAGAGGCGGTGCATTCGAGGGATTTCAAGGAGCCCAATCGCTACGAAGGTAAAAATGTTTTGATTATGGGCGTCGGAGCCACTGGTGTCGATACACAGTCATTCTTAAAGAAGGCCAACGCGAAGTCAATTTACCTCAGCCACCGTGGCCAATATTACTTGGTATGCATCAACATCCATGCTCTAATTTTCGATTTCGTCAAACGCTGACATCGCTTCAAACAGCTACCTCGGATGATGAATGGGAAGGCTTTCGACCATACGATGTCTCTGCGAGCAATGACAATCATTCGAACCCTTGGCGATTGGTGGCCCAGGGGTTGCGCAATGCTGTTCTCAAAAGCGATGGTCAGCGCCCGTAGGAAAGCATTTCCTTGGCTTGACAAGCACCCGTCATTCATGTCCCCTCGTAAATTGGATGGAGTCGAGCATCGCATCCCTACGTTTTCCAACGACCTGGCGGATAACCTTCGGGATGGCTCAGTGAAGGCGGTTACGGGAGTCAAGGAGATCACAGGACCCAAGTCTGTCACCCTGACTGACGGTACCGTGCTTGACGATATCGATGCCATCGTAGTCTGTTCCGGATACCACTACGATTTCTCCCTCATCAAAGGCGCCGGAAACCCCACCGACCCCAAGAAGGCCCCCGACAACTACAAGCGGATCAATGCGGCCAAGTACAAGGACCCTCACGACACCCTACCCCGTCTTTATCGCGGATTCATCTCTGAGCAATACCCGGAGTCTCTCGCCGTGCTCGGGCATTTTCTCATCATGGGCCCCCCATTCGTGGTCTACGATCTTGCAACGATGGCACTGAGCAGTCTCTGGTCCGGTCAAGCGCCGATCCCCGACCAGAAGGAGATGGCGCGAGACATCAATGCCCACTACGACATGGTTGTGGAGACTCTCGGGCGCGGGCCGGTGCCGCACATGGGTGCCCGGATGTTCGGCAGTGACACCTTCATCTGGTTGAACAAAATTGCCGGTACCGGGGTGACTGATCGCCTGCTATGCTTCAGCCTTGACGCATGGAAGCTCTGGTGGAATGATCGAAAGTTCTACAACTTGCTTACGGATGGGGTCAATTCGCCGCCGTTGCTCCGTCTGTTTGACACCGGGAGGGGCCGGAAGACTTGGCCCGGCGCCAAAGAGGCCATCATAGCGAACAACGAAGACGTGAAGCAGCTTGGCGAGAAATGGAAACAAGAGCAAGACAAGAAGACAAAATAGTCGTGAGCAATGGCATTAATGACATGCCTCTGATAGCGTTTGTATTGACTCTAGCGATTTCTCTCATCAGTGTGTGTCAGCATTTCAGACTAGTCGCTTATTTAACATGAAGTTTTGTCATGAGTGTGCCGAATCATATGTGTGCGAGTCCTTTTCAGACGAACATAGCCAATTACTTGCCGTTTTCCAATGAGACCCAGGTCATCACATCGCACATGAGTGGTTAGACTCCGCGTCATCTAATGATCGGTCGGCCTCTGTCCGCTCGGCAACAATTTCCCCACCTTCTCCGCGGCACGACATCAAGGAACCGAATAACGCCATCGCCGGTAAACATTCGTAATCGGCGGCACCACTCCGACTCAATTTCCTCATGGTTTAAAAGGAATAATCTGAGTCAATTGAAAATCGCTAGTGGCAAAGGCTCTTACTATCTCGGGATCTCGCACCAGCTAACGTCACAGATTGTGCAACATGGCTACTGTTACCATCGCCCGCCCGGTCCAGCCGGACATCCAGTACGCCCCGGACCGAGTGAAGTGGCAGGCCCGTGTGGCGAGCCGGGTCCAAGATCCCGATCTCCCGAAAGCCCTGCCGGAGGGCCTGCCTGCACAATTCAAGAGTGACTTGGTGTGGGAAGGTTCAACCCTGGCCTACGACTATGACTGGACCTATGTGCTTAGTACCGAGCAACTGGACGAGCTGGATGCAGCCCTAGCTCATTTCAAATGTAGGGAACTAGCTTTCCTCATTGACTGATTGCATGGCTGATATGGACTTAGCCTTGGGATTAGCTCTTGGCCACATCAACCAGGAGACGTTCCCATTGCCGAAGCTCCACCCTGAGCTCCGGAAGCTTTCTCACGAGCTGCACAACGGGCACGGATTCTTTGTGATTCGGGGTCTGCGGGTCGACGAACATACAAGAGAAGAAAACATCATTACCTACGCCGGTCTTTCTTCTCACATCGCACCCCAGCGTGGTCGTCAAGATAGGCAGTATGATGGCAAGCCGGCCGACGTCGTGCTTACCCACATCAAGGATCTGACTCTCACGAAAGAGAAGGGTCAGATCGGCAGCCCCGCATACACAGCAGACAAGCAGGTATTCCACACGGATGCGGGCGACATCGTCTCCCTTTTTGCGCTTTCAACCGCTGCCGAGGGCGGCACTAGCAAATTGGCGAGTATTGCCCGCGTTTACAACGAGATCGCCAAGACGCGTCCTGATCTGATCCATACGCTTACTCAAGACTGGCAATTCGAAGTGTGAGTTTAGCCGTGCCCTTCATCTGGACTTGGTCTGTTCATAGCCAGATGGCTCCATGAAAATCATACCCATGGGTATCCGTCATTACCCATTACCCATTACCCATTACCCATTACCCATTACCCATTACCCATTACCCATTACCCATGGATATCCAGAACCATACCCATATCTTACTCAACCACAATTTATGCCCAACCCCTCGCATACTGCGTTCCTCTTACTACCTATGGAACACCTAGTTACTGATCATTATGACCGTCCAGCTTCGGAACGCCCCAAAAGTCGTTCACATCTCGGCCACTTGTCCACTATCAACCTGCCACAGAAACCACTCCTGAACGGCTGGCTGTACAGTACGCGCGTCGTTATTTCGTCGGCTACGGCGCACTTCCAAGAAGTGTAGAAATCCCTCCCATCAGCGAAGCACAGGCCGAGGCGCTTGACACGCTACACTTCCTCGGAGAAAAGTTCGCTGTCTCTTTAGACTTCCAGAAGGGTGATATCCAGTACGCCAACAATATGGGGATTTTCCACGCCCGTGATGGTTTCACCGATACTCAAGGCCAACAGTAAGTGACGAGTCAAGATAGCAAATGCGTCTGGCGAGACTGACGGATTTGTTTGCAGACGCCACTTGTTGAGGCAATGGCTTCGCGATCCTGAATATGCATGGGAGACGCCTGAGCCGTTGAAGGAACGTTGGGGACAGCTTTATGATGGAGTCACACCCGAGGCGCAGGTATTCCCGCTTGAACCGTTCATCCGAAGCGAAGGAAACAAGAGTAAGGGGCGGGAATGATGAGGCGATGTAGAGGATTTGCATGCCATAAATATCAAGAGCATGACTGATCTTGGAATCGGCCGTTTGCTCCTCAATTAAAACCCTAGAACAATTCCCCTGCAGCCAATCAATGAGCACGGGTCGTAAAGAAAATCCTTTTAGGCAGAGAAAACGTGGCAACCTGCCCTGCCCGAATTCTCGGCGTGAGACAGCCCGCCAGCCGAAGACCATTCTTCGGTGCCTCGACAAGGGCCGCCAAGACTTCCAAACACGAGCTATCATCTCTGGTGACAGGGCACCGAAGACGAGAGGTGACACTCATCTTCATGACGGCCATGTGGCCCTATCGGATGGGGGCGATAGCAAGGGTTGGGATAAGGTTACACTTGGATAGTAGCTTATTACAAGCCCCGGCACTGCGACCGGGCGCCCGCATTGTTAGTGTAGCTGCAACGGTCGTCATGATCAGCCAGCATTGCGTGCTTCTTGGCTCTGGCTGATACAGGAAGGTCAGTACCCTCCACCCTCGTGTATCAATCAGAATGTCTGGCATTTGCTGGTCAAAAGGAAGCATTGTGCCATTTGCGCCCCATCTTCACGACTCTGGGCAATTCTGTTGGCACTTGGCATTGAAGTAACGTCCACGGGCTCACGAGTCCAGACCATTCAATCGAGGAACGATGGACGGCTGAGGCTGTGTTTAAAGAGGAAGCGGTGGAACGCAGGAACCTGGTGTATGGTTCACTTGTGGTTCCTTCTCCTCGTCCCCGCAATACGCCATCTTTCGCCTTCGATAACGTGCGATCGGCTCTCTTCCGAAGTTGAGGTCGTCTCAGCCATCCCGCACGCTTAATCAGTGGAGCAGTTCTCCAGTTACATTCAACGTGTACCAAGCTACCGGATCGCAGGTTATGAAAGATGGTGTTCTCCAAGCTCTCTTCAAGGTTTGGGGGTCCAAATGCGACAATACACGAGCGCGGTCCAGTCGACGTCGAGGCTTCCGACTTCGAGCACTCCATCATCAGAGACGGAGATCTCGCCTACACGCTCGCGAAAGGAGGAAATGGATCCAAGCCGGCATACCAGGAGGCTGTCGGGGCACCCGTCGAGAAACACTCCCCTCTCGGATACCATGTTGGTTGGATTACGGTCATTTTTCTGAATATAAATCAGATGATTGGCACTGGTATCTTCTCAACGCGTACGGCTACCTATCACCCCCCAGGAAAACGAGAGCAAGACTAATCTGAACGCCATAGCTGCATCCGTCCTCAATGGCACTGGATCCGTAGGCCTAGCCTTCCTTTACTGGACAATAGGGTTCCTCATGACTCTCGCAGGACTGAGCGTGTATCTCGAGCTGGCCAGCTACTTTCCTAACCGAAGTGGTGCGGAGGTAGTGTACCTGGAGCAAGCTTATCCACGGCCGAAACACTTCTTCCCTATCGCATTTGCGGTGCAGTCCGTTCTTCTTTCGTTCAGTAGCAGTAATGCAATCGGTATGACATCACAGGAATCTCAACGTATCTTCAATTATGTCTGCTAATATGAGACAGTCTTGTCACGATATCTGTGGCGAATTGCAGGGAAGACGCCGTCTGCGTGGGAACTGAAGGGAGTTGCAATCGCTGCATACACCTTTGCCGTCATATGTGTTGTCGCTCACAACAAATACTCCCTTTGGGCAACAAACATTATCGGCGCAATCAAGATCATAACCCTTATCTTCATCTCGATCACTGGACTCGTTGTTCTCGGCGGCCATATCGATCACATTCCCGATCCCAATGCCAACTTCCGCAATTCCTTTGAAGGAACCACGGATAATGGCAACGACCTGGCTACAGCGCTTGTCAACATTATCTTCTCGTACACCGGCTATAGCAACGCTTTCAATGTCGTGAACGAGATTAAGAACCCAATCCCTGTCCTAAAGCGACATGCAACAATCTCAGTGGTGGTTGTGGCTGTGCTTTACATGTTCTGTAACGTCGCCTACTTTGCTGCCGGTACGATGGACCTCATTTACTCATCTTGATTCTGGCTGACGCTGCTCCTTAGTGCCCAAGGCTGAATTCAAAACTGCAAAAGAGATTGCTGCTGCCGTCTTCTTCACCAAGGTGTTCGGAACCGGTCCCGCAGAGCAGGCGCTGAACTTCCTTGTTCTACTCAGTGCTTTCGGTAATCTCTTAGGTGTGCTGATTGGCTCCTCCCGCGTAATCCGTGAGATCGGACGGTATGTACCCCCAATAAAGCCATATTTGGTCAAGATTTAACAGTACCTCAGGCAAGGTGTCCTCCCATGGACCGAGTTCTGGGTGAACACCAAACCCTTCGGAACCCCAATTGGACCGTACTTCTTAAAATGGATCATGACTTTCATCATGATTGCGGCACCTCCAGCTGGAGATGCATTCCAATTTGGTGAGCATCTCTGTTTCCGATGAAAGGCGGCTAGTACTTACAGTTCCGCAGTCATCAGCTTGAAGACATACCCTGACGGTCTTTTCCACTTCGCGATGGCAGTTGGAGTTTACCTAATCCGAGTTCGCCGCAAGCGCGCCGGTCTTAGACGTACTGAGTTCAAATCATGGCACGTGACGGTCATCTTCTTCATCCTCCTCCAGGTTTACATTCTTATCATGCCTTGGTGGCCGCCCAAGGGTGGCCCATACGCAGGCAGCGTCAGCTTCTGGTATGCTACATACTGCGTCGTTGGCATCGCCATGTAAGTCAAATCCTCCAAGTCATTTAGAACTGACATATTGACAATTTCATAGCCTGATAATCTGTTTTCTTTACTACACTGTGTGGATGTGGCTTCTTCCGAAATGGCGCGGATACAGGATCCGACCTGAAATCCTTGACGTTACGGACAATGGTGCCAATACGCATCGCCTTGTTCAAGTCCCGCTTTCTGAGTTAGCCCAATGGGATGCCGAACATGATGATGCTGGCAACTTGCGGCGCCGGGCAGTCGTCGGGTCTCAAAGTTCCTCAAAAGGTGATGGTGGGGTTGCAGTCGTTGGAGACCCAGCCACGGGTCAAAAGTACTAGTGCATCTGATTGGAATGGCGCTCAGTGAACGGTGAGCCTGGGGAACGATATTTGATTTAGAATCCAATCTGGGCATTTTCGCGCAACTATTGCAACTATTGAAGATGCTGGCATGGGTGAACTTGTCATAGGAAAACCCCGCACCCATGGTGCAGATACTCAGCCTATCATTGACACAACAACTCTACCAACCAGTATTTAGTGTTTTTCGCTGATGATATGACAATGCGTCTATCTTATGAGATGTGGTTTCGCGACATGTAGAGGAAATGACTTGTGACAACAGCGGCTTAGCGGGGCAGGATTTTGGCCTCACTTGAATCAGTGCTGGTCAGCCAATCACAAATCGAATGATTCCGCCACTCGGACAGGATCTCTATGGCACTCAGATGCAGAGCAAAATTTTGACTGAAGTACGTTGTACATATAAGAGGTTCGTGGTCGCACCTCTAGCTCAATCGGCCGGGTGGAGTGCTCCCGGATTTCGATGTCGGAACATCACCAGTCAGCCAGGAATGGCGTCTCTCACCGATTTGCCTGTGGAGGCTCTCGTCATCATCTTCAATTGTCTCCGACCTCGACAGGAGCCATATGACATTCACATGCGCAAACCTAGCCTGAACGCGCGCGACCTTAGCATCAGGCGTGAACTTCAGAAACAGGCCAACCATCTCGTGAATCTATGCAGCACTTGCAAACTCTTCCGCCTCGTCGCTCAACCGATCGCCTACCAGTCAATTTTCAACTATAATTACATCAACTGGGGACAATCTCTCTCGACGTTCCTCTATCGGTTTGAGAGCTTGACCAAAACCCTGTCCGAGAGACCAGATCTCGCGGCCAACGTCAAGTTTCTGGACATCCATATGCTTGACAGACAGCGCTGCCGCCAAAGCCAATCTATCAAACCTACTAACAAATATACCAAACAATTGAAGCTATTCCCAACTGTCAATTAAACAATTCCTGACCCCTCAGATTTGATATATTGGGTTGATTTGGCTTGGTATATTATAT